GCATACCCCTAAACATTTTGTGAATCTTTCTACTTTTGTCCATTTACTGTATTTATTTTTCCTGATTTGAACTATAAAATGGTGGTTTCAAAATGAGAATACCCCTAAACATTTTTCTAGGAAAAAAGGCACTGGGTAAACCCAAATTTACAGGGGGCAAACATTGAAACTGGTGCTGTTTGGTGGTAATATCATGTGGACTAAGTACCTGTACATTAAATGGGAATGCAAACCTCTGCAAATACACTATCAATTCCAATGTGGACAAGCCCTTAATAGCATATAGCAGGGGTCGGCAAAGTTTTTGTGGCTTGGGCTGGTTCACAGTCCCGCAGACACCGCGGTGGGCCAGAGTGTGTGCGTGCGCGCACACACGCATGCACACACACATGCGCAAACGCTATTTCCTGCGCTCCTTCCAGCGTGGAGGAGGCGTGCACAGCTTCCCATTGGCTGTAGGAGCTTCCTGCAGCCAATGGGAAGCCGGCCAGCGTTGCAGAAGGCATGGTAGCCGACCGAGTGGGCTGCAGGGGTCTATGGGCCAGTTAAACGACCCCCATGGGCTGCTTATGGCCCTTGGGCCTTAGGTTGCCGACCCCTGGCATATAGGCTGCTACCTGAATCCAAGATCCTTCAAAACCATATTGCTCTGGTATTATTAAAAGAATGAAAGTGGGATTTGCTTTGCTGCCGTTATATGCTGCCTTTACATATGTTTGTTAAATATGCATAGTACCTGCCAACATGGTTCTGTAGAAAAGTCAGCATGGCTTTAAATGCCTGCTGCAGCCTTCTGTTAAGTAGGTTTACTCAGAATTAAATTCCACTTAGTTAAGTGGCAATTGTTTCATGAAATGTATGCTAAGGATCCTATACATATTCACTAGGAAATAAGTAATACTTAGTTTGAAAGGACTTGTCTAAAATACTATCTTAACCATCCTCCTATTCCTCCTTATGGGGATGTAAAGTCCAATTTCATTCAATAGGTTCCAAAAAAAAGTGGGCACAGAAGTGGCAGTGCAGTGTAGTGGTTAGTGTCCAACTGGGACCTAGGAGACCAGGGTTCAAATCTCCACTCAGCCAGAAAACTCACTGGGTGACTTTGAGCCAGTTTTCTCAGCCTAACCATGTAGAAAAAGGTAGAGTTTTAATGCAATAAATGAATTATTTTGGCCTTGGTGGGTTAACTGGTCTTTCATTATGAAGGGTGAAGGAGTGGTTTTCTGTGGAGTGTGTGTCTGCTATGTGTGTGTACCCTAAAATCTAGTAACAATTCCATATGCTTGGCTAGCTAACAAGCCATTTTGCCAATTCAATGAGAGCCAACATATGTCCTACTACAATCATCACTGCTGTTGTGGAAATTTACACAAAAAATTCCCAGTCCAAAGGACCTTTGGTTTTCAGCTTAGACTATTCAGACTAACTACGCTACTGTTTAACTTTTAAATAGAAGAAAATGTGCTTTGAAGCTTTTCGGTTTAGTTTAGGGCGAAAATCCAATCATTTCAAAGACCAGCTGAAATCCTCACATGACTTCAGAAATCATGTGCTTTTTAACATAAGAGTGGCTGAATACTGCGAGAACTTAAAGGTAAATGACCTCCATTTGTCCCACCCACTTTGTCAACACGAAAACTTCAATTCTGGACAACTGGTAATTACTAAATAAATAATTTGACTTATTTGCCTGATATAAATAACAATAATTACCAGATGAATCTCCTGAATGTTGTTTAAAGTGTCAAACGTTTGTAAAAGTCCAAATATAAAAGAAGCAAAGGATTGGAAACTTTATATAATGTGAACCTATCTAAGGGGACCCCTCTTACAGTTACACTGATATAGTCTTATTGGTTTCAAAAATAATATCTGAACTTAAATGCAACTTAAGTCAATTGTGGTTATTAATTACACAATTTCACTGTCAAACTTTAAATTGTGTGGTTTTTTTTACTATTGTTTGCACAATATTGCATATTAAAGTTACACATGTGAAAGCAAATCTGTTACAGTCTTATGTTTCTACCCACTTGCAACTGTCACTAAATTTATTGAGATTTACACTAATGTTCTACAATGGTTCAGTAAAATATATGTCAAAGTAAGCCTACTGAGAACTAGAGGCTGACATGTGCACATGTACAGATGTGTTTAGATTTGGGGCTTTGTTCAACATTAAACCTTTGCATGGTTGTACACAGAAATTACTTCTCAACAGAAATGCTATTTTCAGTGTAATACTAATTGTATTTATCAAATGCATTGGATTACAGTTAAGCAACATCCTAATTCTATGTGTCCCTAGTCAAAAATAAGACTCAAGGAAAGGATTGCAGAATTACAGCAAAATCCCATTGAGCATTTCTACTGAATCCAGTGATACTTGCTTCCAAGTAAACCTGCATAGGATAGTACTATTAGAACACCAGACAGAGAGTATTATGGTGTTTACCTCAAAATTTTATGCATTCATTTAAGGAAATTAAAATGCTACAATAACTTCTAAATTGCATTTTGGAGTTTTTTGTTTGAGTACTGTGTTATGCTTGAAAGCACAAAGAAATGAACATTGAGATCTCTGCCTGGCTATGAAGCTCTTTGGGTGATAATGGGCAAAAGAAAATCTCCCGGCCTCAGAGGACTGTTTTAATATATACAATATTAATCTGCATCTGAGCTTCTTTAAAGAAGGTGAGAGACCAATGGAATTATGTAAAAAATATGTGTGTGCACCAGTTTTGTGAGTTCTGAAGGTATTGAAAAATCTGTATCAAAACCAGTAAGTTTAAAGACGAATAAAGAATTTGATAATGAGTGAAGGACAGTCCATGACAGATGACATTATTTGCATTTTAAGGTCTCAGATGGAGCCCCTAGCAACTTCAGCCTGAGTAGACAATACTAGACCACAGAGTCTGACGCAGGTTAAATTTAGTTATCATCACTTTGTTACTTTTATTTCATTAAAATAAATAAAGAAAATGTTTTCCTCTGTGAGGGAAAGGCACAGATGTCAATGAAAATGTTTTCCAAGACTATCATCCTACATAAACTGCTTAGCAGTAAAATCAAGGAGAATTTTGGGCTGCACAACTCAAAATTTTATTTATTTTGAGTGTTTGCACACCGCCCTTCAGCCAAAAAGGCTCCCAGAGTGGTTTCCATACAATCATTTAAAACAATAAGAGTTTTTCATTTATTTGCTGCGGGGCATTAAAAAATGTTTCAGGCCTGATCTGTAGCCAGCAGAGCTCAGAGCCCGTAGGTCAGAGGCATGGAATAAAGTCCTGGGTTCAATCTCTGCCATCTGGGGTTTCGGATAGCAAACTTGAGAATGACACCTGAGATCTTTAGGCACTGCAACCAGCCAGCCTAAGCAGTACCAATGATCCGACTTGTTTTCTCAAAGCAACTTCTGATATCATTAACTGAGCAGGCCTAGTTCGTATTGTCCTGAGTATGATGATAGGATGTGGCATAAACGGGAATGAGAAGTAGGTGACCAGCTCTGCCTTTCTGACAGACAGTTGGGTTTTGTAGAAACACCTTGACATGGAGAAAAATGGAGCCACCATTGCTACAATGCAGAGATTACCTGCCCGTGCCATTATTGTGGTGCCCATGGTGGGGGCCAACCATGGGCGGAGGGCAGCTACCCCCCTTCAAGTTAAACAATAAAAATACTGTACAGTACTTAACTTACTGACCAATGACGTTGGTTCTGTCCCCCCCAAGCAAAAATCCTGTCTACGCCAATTGGGCCAATCTAACCAACCCCTAGACAAACCTAGACAGCATGTTAAAAAGCAGAGACATCACCTTGCCAACAAAGGTCCGTATAGTTAAAGCTATGGTTTTCCCAGTAGTGAGAGCTGGGCCATAAAGAAGGCTGATAGCCGAAGAATTGATGCTTTTGAATTATGGTGCTGGAGGAGACTCTTGAGAGTCCCATGGACTGCAAGAAGATCAAACATGTCCATTCTTCAGGAAATCAGCCCTGAGTGCTCACTGGAAGGACAGATCGTGAAGCTGAGGCTCCAATACTTTGGCCACCTCATGAGAAGAGAAGACTCCCTGGAAAAGACCCTGATGTTGGGAAAGATTGAGGGCACAAGAAGAAGGGGACAACAGAGGACGAGATGGTTGGACAATGTTCTCGAAGCTACCAGCATGAGTTTGACCAAACTGCGGGAGGCAGTGGAAGACAGGAGTGCCTGGCATGCTCTGGTCCATGGGGTCACGAAGAGTCGGACACGACTACAGTGATACCTCGGGTTACATATGCTTCAGGTTACAGACTCCGCTAACCCAGAAATATTACCTCGGGTTAAGAACTTTGCTTCAGGATGAGAACAGAAATTGTGCTCTGGCAGCGCAGTGGCAGCAGGAGGCCCCATTAGCTAAAGTGGTGCTTCAGGTTAATAACAGTTTCAGGTTAAGTACCGACCTCCGGAACGAATGAAGTACTTAACCCGAGGTACCACTGTAAACGACTAAACAACAACAACCAACCCTTAGGTGCGCCCCAGGAGATATGCATAGCAGAAAACATAAAGAAACCCGAGTTCATCTGCATTTTATTTAGTTGTAGCCCGATGTCTTGTAAACCACCGTCGCATCTGCTGGTTTGTTTTTGCGCTTTGCAGGCGGCGAAGGCTGTTGAGTTGGACGAAGAGAACCACGCCTTGTCTTGCGAGGTGAAATGGCCTGAATGCGCGTTGACTGCGCTTCGGGGCATTGCGATCATATCTGCTGGCAACGTCTCCTTTCCCCCCTGGCATTGTTTTGAAACAGGATTTCCCTCGCCTTGCTGATTATATTATTGTAATTGAATTCCATATCGAAGAGCTTGTGCCTCTATGATTTCCCAGCAAAAGCCACAACCGAGCCAGGGCAGGGGTCCTTGTCCTCGGCCGCCCCACTGCTTCCCATAAAAACAACCCGCCACCCCCTCCCGCTCCTCCATCACGGAACAGGTCCGGGCACCGCTCGCATCACGGGATCGGGAGTCACGAACTTCGGCAGGATTAGCCCTCGCTCCGCCTCGGCGCCTCGCAGCCAATCGAAGCGCAACAGGGGCCGGGCTTCGGCAAGCCGGGCACATTTAGAGCAAAGCCCCCGGCCCGAAACCAGCCAGAGCAGGGGCCAGCCGAGGAGGGTGTTGTTCTCGGGGCCGACAAGGTGGGTTTGCAAGCGCCGGCGGGTCGCCAAGAGCCTCCATTTCGCTCCTCTCCGCGGGCTATTTTTGCGTAATGGCTGAGCGCTGGGTCTCCAGCATCCCTCGCCGCCTCCCCGGTCCCTGTTGCTAACGGGGGCCTGGGGAGAAGAAGGGGGCTCCTTTGGCTGCCCCTCTGATGCTCGGAGCCACTCGGGTTCCTTCTCCCCGGTGGAGAAAGGAATCCGGGAGGCGCCGCTGCCCGTTTAACGGGGTGTTTTTGTGTGTATCTTTATCGGCGAGCGAAGGGCAAGGAGGCGCCTGGGCGCTCGGCTGAGCTTACGTCTTTTTCCCTGGGTGGCCGGCGCTCCGATGAGCCCCCTTGCCCATCTTTTAGAAGTGGGAGTAGCGGGGATTTGGGGCGCGCCCAACTTGCTTGTGCGCGTTTTCTAGGGCGCACCCAGCTGGGGTTGGCGCGACCCTTCCTTCCCAGCTGGCTGCTGCGCGGGTCCTTCTCTCCCTTCGAGGCAGCCCAGCGCTGGGATTTCTCATCTTCTCCTGGGTTGAGGGATTTCCCCCTTTTCTGAACTAGACCGCCGCGCGCTCCTGCTCCAGCGCCGTCCTCCCCCAAGCGATTTGGCTCCGGATCAGCAGCCAAACGGGCTTGTTTACACTGGGCCCGGCGCCTGAGCGCCCTCCCCCCTCGGCCGCCTATCATGTGAGGGGCGCTCGCGTGTCTGTTTACTGGAGCGGGGTCACGTGCTGGGTTTGGGCTTTTTTCTTTTTTTTTGCAAGGACCCCCCCCTTCACCCCCCCTTGGTACTCCGCCCCAGACTGGGATGTCGGGAGAGCGGAAGTGATTCCTGGAAAATGCCTGATGACTCATATCGGTATCCAGGGAGGCTTCTGAAAGCGCCAGCTATTAAAATGCTTACAGATCCCTCCTGTTTTTCTTCAGCCTTCGACAAGGGCTTTGAGAAAAGTACATTTGGGGAGGGGGGGGGAAGGTCGCTGTCTTAGTTATCTAACCTTCAAAGGAAAAATCTGTTTGTAAAGCAGCTAATCTAATTCACTCCTATTGAATATTTGTGCGGTGGGTGGGGGTTGTAATAATAAAGTATAGGATTGTTAGAGATGTGATTTGTGGACATCTGGCAGAATTGGGGAACCTAGGCTTAGTTGTTGCTTGAACAGGCCTTTCATATACAGTGGTACCTCGGCTTAAGTACTTAATTCGTTCCAGAGGTCCGTTCTTAACCTGAAGCACCACTTTAGCTAATGGGGCCTCCTGCTACCGCTGTGCCACCGGAGCCCGATTTCTGTTCTCATCCTGAAGCAAAGTTCTTAACCTGAAGCACTTTCTGGGTTAGCGGAGTCTGTAACCTGAAGCGTATGTAACCTGAGGTACCACTGTATCTCATTTAGTTAGTTTCTGGTGCTAGTTTTGCACTTGCCCCAGAACCACGATCTGAAACACGTTGTATATACATACTAGGTGCCTTGTGTGGTAGCGCTGTGGTGCATTTATACCAAAACTTTAAACAAGTAATTTATTCTCACTTCAGTGAATTTCATTTCTGTATAGTTTGCATGGCCTCATCAGAGGGGTTTAAACTGTTTCTGTCTATTGGTTCGTCACTGTAAGTGAAGGAGAGATTCCTGTCTAATCAGATCTTTTTCTTGCCCTATAGAGAGGTTTCACCATGAAGTTCTATCTGTGCGTTTTGGCCCTAAGTTTGGAGGCGTGCTTTGCCGCCCCAGGCCTGGACCCTGCTTTGGATGATCACTGGGGCATGTGGAAATCATGGCATAACAAGAAGTACCATGAGGTAAGGGTCACTACATAACTCTCAGTGTGCATGGGCAAAAGGTGTTCAGAAAACATGCGGTAGCAAAAGTTGTATGAATGGTTCATGTATCTGTTGGTGAAACCATCTGCCAGCCTAGGTATTTGGGTATAATTGCCACCTTAGGGGACACAAACAACACTTCAATAATCTGAGAGTTACTGGTATAGCAGATCGTAGTTAAGAACATAATGAACACCTTTTTAGTCCAGTATCCTGGTCCCTCAGTGACCAACCAGATTCCTTTGAGAAGCAGGCAAGCAGGATCTGAAGTACTGTTCTCCCCAGTTGTGATTCAGAGGCATACAGCAAGCAGAGAAGTTGTACAGGTAGACTGAAGTGCTCTAGATACTTTATTATCAAATACAAAAAGAATTTCTCAATATTATTTTGCTGCTTGAATAAGTCTCATCTTGGGAACAAAAAATGTAGCTTCCTTTTATATGGGAATACCAAGCTAGCAAGAGTAGTCATGTTAAGTATGAACTACTCAAATATTAGGGCTAATGTTTGAAATGTTTTTCATAGCAATGGTAAGCTGCTTAGAGCAGCAAACAAAAGCTAGGCATACTTTTCATTGCTCGATTCAGATGTCATTGCAAGCCACATTTAAGAAGTCTGGCTTGGCATGATGCCTGGATGGACAAATCCTGATTTGTAATGAGCCAGTAAACCAGAACTGGATACCATGATTTGGTGTGGTGCATGACTTTACAAACCATAGCTGCAGCAGCCTATGGCAGTTGGAGCCATAGCTATACCAAATAGATGGGGAAACCAAAACAGGGAAGCAACCATGGTTTGCAGGAATATACAGAGGTTCCAACCATGGTTTGTCACAAACTATGGTTTAGAACCCAAACTATGGTCTGATGTCTGAATTGAGCCTATGTCTTTAGCTGTTAGAGGATGTTGGGTGCTCAGTTTTCCTTGTTGCTTTCTTCCCCTTTTAGAAGGAGGAAGGCTGGAGAAGAATGATCTGGGAGAAAAACCTGAAGATGATTGAATTGCACAACCTGGACCACAGCCTGGGCAAGCACAGCTACAGACTGGGAATGAATCATTTTGGAGACATGGTACGTAAATGCCAAGTTGCACAGCTAGCATCTCTTGAGTAACTGCTTAGATGGCATGCTGACTTATTTCCTCTTTCTTCAGACCAATGAAGAATTTAGGCAAGTCATGAATGGATTTAAACGCTCCAAAACGGAAAGGAAGTTTTCAGGGTCACAGTTCCTTGAACCAAATTTCTTGGAGGCGCCAAGATCTGTTGACTGGAGGGATAGAGGATATGTCACACCAGTGAAGGATCAAGTATGTATCTGATCTTCTGGGTTTTTTCTTTTCCTTTGCCTAACACAAGCAGCTTAGTCTGTGGTTGGATTTCTAAGTGGTACTTCAGCTTCTGTAGGACTTAACAGCCAAAACATAGCTACGTTGCCAAGAAAAAAATAGCTCCTTTACCTTACTTTAGTTATGGGAGGTAGCTGAAGAACCCGAGGACAATAAGAGCCTGTTGGATCAAGCTCCTAGGGAACTATCCCAATCTCAGAGTGACCAGCTAAATGCCTGACCACAACAGCACTTTCTCTGTCCCCAGTGTAGAGCTGTCATTCAATAATATTAATAATAATAATAATAGTAATAATAATTTATTTATACCCTGCCCCATCTGGCTGAGTTTCCCCAGCCACTCTGGGCGGCTTCCAATCAAAGTTAAAAACAATACAGCATTAAATATTAAAAACTTCCCTAAACAGGGCTGCCTTAAGATGTATTTTAAAGAGAAGATAGCTGCTTATTTCCTTCACATCTGAAGGATGTGGGAAGGACCCTCCCACAGGGAGGGTGCCACTACCGAGAAGGCCCTCTGTCTGGTTCCCTGTAACCTCACTTCTTGCAATGAGGGAACCGCCAGAAGGCCCTTGGCACTGGACCTCAGTGTCTGGGCTGAACGATGGGGGTGGAGACGCTCCTTCAGGTCTACTGGGCTGAGGCCGTTTAGGGCTTTAAAGGTCAGCACCAACACTTTGAATTGTGCTCGGAAACGTACTCATTGAGTATCCATTGAGAATTGGTTGAGGGATGCTTGCAATGGGGACTAAAATACAAAGTGCATTTTTCTTACTTGATGCTAGTGAAATTGAGTTGCCTTTGCACAGGGGATGGGGACCCTCAAGCCCTGCTTTGCACCTTCCTTGGGTGTCTTTTGCCCAACTGGAATGTGTTGAACTTGAATAGTACCTCTAGATTGTATGTTTTCTGTCTAGGCCAGCCTTAGCTCCCACCTGGCTCCCTCCATTTGTTGGTCTGCAACTCCCATCAGTCCCATCCATTAAATACTAAATTGAGAAAAGTAGTGACTCTGCCAAAGCAGCATTTTCTCCCACTGCTTTACTAGAAGCATTACAGTAGCATGTGCTGAACTTCTTCCTGGCTTTAAACCAATGCATTTCTCCCCATTTGCCCTCAGGGTCAGTGTGGCTCTTGCTGGGCATTCAGTACCACCGGAGCCCTGGAAGGACAGCACTTCCGCAAAACTGGCAAGCTGGTCTCTCTGAGTGAACAGAACCTTGTGGATTGCTCTCGGCCAGAAGGGAACCAGGGCTGCAATGGGGGCCTCATGGACCAGGCTTTCCAATACATAAAGGACAACGGTGGCATTGATTCTGAGGACTCCTACCCATACATTGGAAAGGTGAAATGGCTTCCTGACTGACAGCTTCTTCCTTGTCTGTTCTCTTGTCAGATCTACCAGGTCAACATACCTCCCAGGAAAAGAAATTCCAAAAGTTGTGTTGGAAGAGGTTGAACCCAAGCATACATGGGGGTTTCACTGAGTTGTTGGCAGCCCAGCAGATAAAAATGGCAACTAGGCCTTTCCCTGCCCCCCTCGTTCATCATTGGCCTGAATTGATTTGAAAGACTTGAGCAATGATAGTGTTGTGGTTAATTTAATTAGGTTGCACATGCTAGATAACCCTTTAAAGCTCTACTTGCGCAATGCAAGTTAAAAATATAACTACAGGTTTACATTGTTGACACATCAGTGAGTTGCTGCTGGCTAATTATCTCCAAGGACTAGATAGGATTCTTAAACAGCTGAGTGTTCCGCAGATACCTGTAAAACTATATAGCTTTCAGAGTTACACTACTGAAACCATTCTTCCACAACTTCTTAATGGAACATTCTGTTTTATTTTTCTACTTGCCTCTAATACCACTTGTTGGGTGGCAAGTCGGATGTAATACAACATTAAACTACTGTTAGCTTGTTAAACTGAATCTGAAGTTTTAACTTCAAGGCCCACCTATGACTTGGGCAGCAAAGAAATAAAATTCTTAACACTTTGGAAAGGGAGAAGCTGTGGCCATCTAGATACTGTTACCCCCTGACCCTCCGCCATGCTGGCTGAGTCTGTTAGTCTAGCATTCTCCAGGGAGCCCTCGTTTTACCATCTCTGCTGTATACTGAGTTGCTTCAGAAAGTGTTTCTTGAATTCAGGAGTGCCTTTCCAATACTGCTCACCTCTGGTGCTGTTTCATTGTGGAGATGAAAGGACAGTTCTGTTCAGAAAAGAACTCTGTCTCTGCTAACATTTCCCTCTTATCCATAGTTTTTCCCTGGCATCATAACTCTGTTTTGCCTGGGCAGACGTTGCATGCATTGTAGAGATTCCTAGGAGTGGAATGTGAGACTTGTCAGAAGTGCTGTGGTGGGGAATTGATAGATGTGTAGGGGTTCTGTGGTCCTTCAGATGCTGGAATACAACTCCCATCCCCTGACTATTCACCCTGTTGCCTGGGGCTGATGGGAGTTGGAATCCAGCGATATCTGGAGGGACATGGGTTTTCCACCCATGATGTATGTGAATCAGGGTTGGAAGGGACCTCAAAGGTAATGTAGTCCAACACCCTGCTGATGCAAGAAATCAACTATTCTAGCGCCCCTTGATTTAGTCTTTGTTGAAGTAATGACATCTGGGAGGAGGATGGTTTGGTCCAGTATACCTTCTGTAAGAAGAGCATTGTGTGTGCGTGTTAAAATTGGCACCTCTTTCACATGTGAAATATCTTTGGGTTTGGGAACAAGAGTAGTTGGGAAGACCTAGTCACAAGCTCAGATGTGATATTTTCTTGTTGGGGCACATACTTCTTGTGTCATTTGTGGTTATTTAAATTTGAATGTGTATTTATTTCTATTTGGGGTTTTCTTTTCTTTTGCATCCACCGACTTTCTGAATTCTGAACCACAACCAACATGACTGTTGTTCTTTCAAAGGATGACGAAGATTGCTTGTACAAGTCTGAATACAACTCTGCTAACGACACCGGCTTTGTGGACATCCCTGAAGGGCGGGAAAGAGCCCTCATGAAGGCCGTCGCTGCAGTTGGACCAGTCTCTGTGGCGATCGATGCAGGACACACCTCCTTCCAGTTTTATGAGTCAGGTGAGCATTAGGCTAAGGGTCTGAAAGTGATTTGTAATGGACTTGGCTGAATGGAGTATTGTGCAGTTTGATTTCAATGTGGGCAACAATATTCTGGTGCGGGCTAGTCTTGGACATCCTTAGGCCATTTTATCTATGAGGCGTAGTGGGGTTCTGGGTCTTGTTCCAATATGCATGGATGGTTTTTGCAGAAGCATTGCAAGACTCTTGCTGCTTCTGCATAAAGATAAGACACACCCCATTCCTCGTATTCTTAGTGAGTTCATGCAGAGGTTTGGTGGGGAGATAGCTGCCTTTTGCAAGCTGCCAAGGCTTAGAGCCCTGTGTCAGTTTCTTCCACTGGGCAAAACTAGCTTGGTGCTAACACTTTCTGGACAAGGGGCACCCATCAACTGAGAGGGCAAGGACTTATAGTTCAGTGGTGGTTCTGTGGTCTAAACCACCAAGCCTCTTGGGCTTGCTGATTGGAAGGTTGGCGGTTCAAATCCCTGCAACAGAGTGAGCTCCTGTTGGTCTGTTCCAGCTCCTGCCAACCTAGCAGTTTGAAAGCATGCCAGTGCAAGTAGATAAATAGGTACTGCTGTGGCGGGAAGGTAAACGGCGTTTCCGTGTGCTCTGGCACTCATCATGGTCCTCTGTGCGCCTGTAGCAGTTTAGTCATGCTGGCCACATGACCCGAAAAACTGTCTGTGGAGAAACGCTGGCTCCCTCAGCCTGAAAGCGAGATGAGCGCTGCAACCCCAGAGTCGCCTTTGACTGGACTTAACCGTCCAGGGGTCCTTTACCTTTATAGTTCAGTGGTGCAGAGACTTCTGTCTGAAAAGCCCGGGCAAGCTGCCTGCAGTCAGTATAAGGCATTACCAAGCTACATAGGCCACTGGCAGTTCCTATAACTGAACATTCAGATGGATAACTTGGGACCTAGTAGACGAGGAAAGGTTGCTGTTCTTCTGGAAGCTGACCCACTGTTTTTGACTCCTTCCTTTCTAGGTATTTATTATGAGCCGGAGTGTAGCAGTGAAGACTTGGATCATGGTGTTCTTGTCGTTGGCTACGGCTTTGAGGGTGCAGATGAAGATGGCAAGAAATATTGGATTGTGAAAAACAGGTACTGAGACTTCTTTAATCTTTTGATCTCTGGCAGACTTAACTGCTTCTATATACAAGTTTGGTTTTCTTCTGGCTGAGGTTTGGGGACATCCAGGGACATACTTCCCACCTGAGTCTTGGAAGTTGTACAAACCAAGAACAGCTTTTCGGTTTGAAATCCGCTGAATGTATAAACTGTCCCAAAAACAGATACGCAGGGCACTAAATATTCCTTCGGGCCTAATAATTTCTAGGCTGCCCAAACACTTTGGGCTAGTCGTATTGCTTTTAGCCAGAGAAGCAGCCCATCTGTTATGCATTCTGTGCAGGGGACAGGGTGGAGGTACAAAAGTAAATCCTGTAACAAGAGGCAAAGTTGTAATGTTGTGTTTTTGTTTTATCCAGCTGGAGCGAGAAGTGGGGCCTCAAAGGCTACATCTACATGGCTAAAGATCGAAAAAACCACTGTGGAATTGCTACAGCAGCTAGCTATCCTCTAGTATAATTTTGCAGAAAAAGGAGCCACTGGAACAGCCACAGCCGTTAACTTGAGGAAATATGAACCACTGGAATAAGCTTTCCAGCTTGTTGGTCGCCAGACATCTTCTGAGGCCACCAAGCATTCCAGCTGCAGAAAGACTTTAAACTGACTAGTATCTGTTTCTTCCAAGATTGTTATTTGGGTTGTTGTTTTTTTTTTAACCTTGAACCTCTCTGATGTTTACTTGATGGCAACATGTGCCCCTCTTTTTTCCAATGTTTTTTATTACTTGATGTAAATGTTGCTTATGTGCACAAGCTTGTAATATTGATAGCTTGCAGACTGGCTAAACCATGTAGATTTTCTTTTTTTAATTTTATTTTTAGGCAACAACTTGCACAGAACGTTACAGCTTTTAAAATAAAACACCAAACATTTCAATGTACCTAAATGGATTTTGTGTGCTTTCTTTTGTACATGAACTTCACCCAGTATCCCCCTTCTCAATCAAATCAATTAGTTTTGGACCAATTTGGTTTCTGGTGTGGTAATAAAAGCTGCAAAATAACAGAACAGTAGTGCAAAGCATGTAATGCAATGTTTTCTGTATGGGATTGGAGTTGAGCTTCTCCATCTGTAATGAGTACCTTAAAAGATTTCTAGCAAAAGTCATTACAATGCAAACCGGCTTACACCGCAATATATTTGTAATCTTGAACGTTCCACAAAGCTCCTTGGCAGCCTTTGCTGCAACAGACTTCAAATGACTTCACAAAAGGACTATACAATTAAATGCCAAGGGACCTGCTCTCTCTGCTATGCAGATATATGAAAAAAAGTTTTCCTTTGGGTGACAGTTGAATAGGGTATCTTTTCCATCTGCTAAAATGACACCTGGTCTGCAAGCAGAGCAGAGTGAACTGTACCAGCTCAGTCTGTTGGTGAGTTATACATTTTTTTTGAATGCTCTGCAAGCAAGGTGATTTGCAGTCAGTAAACCAGTAGAGCTGGAAATCTAAAGCTGAAGAAAGCTACTGTGCAGTTTTCTGTCTTAGGAAAAATTGTTGTGTTAACTTGGGGAAAACAGTAAAGTTGAAATCTTACCCACATTATGAACTGATGTAGGTTATGCTACCACGTCCCGCATGGGTAGAACAGGCCTTAGAATGCAGAAACAAGTAAAGAACTCCACAGCGGCTTAGTATTTTGTTTATGAATCTTGTGAAATAAAAATAAGCACCGATTGTAATAAAACCTCAAAGCTTTTTCCAAAAAGAAAAAAAATAGTTTTTTAAAAACCAACTCTTTAAATATTAAAATCTACAATTTTTACCCTTTTCAATATGGGGGAGGGGGGGCAGTAGTGATCTTGCCTCTACAGAGCTGTCCTGAAGATTGTCTTCTAAGCAGTTTGCACAGTGAAAAGTGTTAATAAAAATGGTTGTAGCATTCTGTGACCAATAAGGCCCCCTTCTTGATGGACTGAGAACCTAAGGCTGTATTATAAAAGCCTCTATGTAGTAGACAAGGTAAACTGCTGAAATGGGAAAGCTCCTGTTTTTGTAGCTTTGGTTATGCTGTCCTGAAAAAAGAGGCGTTGGGTACAGTGCAAAGGAAGGCCTTCCTGCCTTTATGGATTGGGCCAAAATCCCTTTAGTTTTGGTGCTTTGCCTTTTTCTATTTGAAATTTTCTTCCTGTTCTTCATTCACTGCCCCGTGGAGATTCCAAATGAAATGGAGAGAGTGTGTGTTTTCTATAGGGTGGATTATTTGGTATCGCCAAAGAAAGGTGCACAGATATTGTATAAACTAATGTGTTTATGCAAATTTAGAAATAATAAAAAGTAAACCGAAATACAATTCATAGCTCCATAGTGGAGAAAACTTGCTATTTAAGCTGTGTGCCTGCTCAGTTTTTCAGTGTGCTCTCCGGGTGCTAATTGTTGATGGGTGACTTCGACGCCCCTGCTTTCCCTTATTTATAAACCAGATCTCGACTGGGCACAGAACATCCACAAGTAGGAGTGTTCTGTAAAGGAGAGCACTTGAAGTCTGCATATGCATTTACCCCAACTTCTCTCAACTATAGCATAACTCATGGGTAGCCAATGTGATCCAACAACTAGCCCAGATAGGACCTGGACCTTGTGATCATCATCTGTGGTCCTCCTTTGTGTGCCGCCTCCATGAGAGGTCCAGAGGGTGGAATGCTCTTCCCAAGGCGGCTCTTTTGGCACCTTCATTATACATCTTTAGACGCCAGGCAAAAACATTCCTCTTCAGCCAGGCCTTAGGCTGATTAACATCCTATGTCCTTTTAAATGTGTTTGTGGTGGTGAAGGGGTTATTGGCTTGTTTGTGTTTTATGTATTTTGCATTCGCATTTGGTGTTTCTATGCTGTGAACTGCCCTCAGATCTTCAGCCGAAGGGTGGCATTCAAATTTAATCAATACATAAAATAATAAATAGTCACCGGTGCTCATGACAGACAGCCATTGCAAAACTGGAAAAAAGAGTGGCTTTACAATGGATAGCAGAGATGCAGCAATGGAGAAAGACCTTTCATTATTTTCCTGCCCCAAACTGCACACCTTCAGCATTTCAAACCCTGCAAAGGGAAAATATGCAGCAGCAGACTGAAGTAGATTTTAAACCAACTCAATGGGGAGATGCTGCCCTGGGCTCCTTTGGGAGGAAGGGCATGATATAAATAGCAAAATAAATTTGCATTTGATGTGTCCATTAGAGTGTCCAGTTATGCAGCCCATGTTAACATAAGGAGGGTCTGCATCACCCCAAAGAGGGCAGTTATTTGCATATGGCAATGATATATATAGAAGCAAATGTAGAAATAATTACTATAAATAGTAATAGAACTTCACCCGTGGGTGGGGGTGGAGACACCAGGTGATTTGTATGCCAACTCAGTCTGCTAGCATCAAACTGCTCTCTCTCTTTATGGTTCCTTCTCTTAAGACAAGACTTGGACTGGTCAGCATTGAATTACAAGACACCTTCAAATACAGCTCTTCAAAACATTAAAATAAAGCAGGTCACATGACTACCCAGCTATCCATTTATATGTACATAAAATACCTTGGCTGGTTGGCTCACAGCTTACCATTTAAATCTAGATCAACAAGGTTCCCACTGCCCTGACCTAACCAGGTGATAAGTACATTGGTGATTGAACTCTCTGTTCCTGCAAAGCCGTCTAGCCTGATCAGATGCATGTTTACTATGTACACAGTTACCAAGAACCAAGGAGGACTTAGTTCTTAGCACATGTGATGAAGGTTGCAGCATTACTTGTACCAAGTTTTGTTTTTGTTTTGTTGGAACTTATGTTTGAGGTTTTCCAACCACCTTTTCACATCAATGAGACTAGTTTTTTTAAAAAGCCCACACGCGAACGTTGATGACAGGAAAGCGAGTTATTTCTCACTAAGACAGTGGGGCTGGGGGCAACCCAAAAGGTTCGACTGGAACAGGAAGTGGAACAAAGAAGACATCCTCCTACACTAGGTTTGCTTTCGTATCAGTGGATATTAAGAAAGAGAGAGCAAATGTTGGAGGGGAAGCCTATAAATTGCTGCCGTTGGGTTTTTCAAGTAAACTGGCATGTGTCTCTCTAGAGCCTGTGCTGATAAAGCATTTTTGAATTTCACTTTGAATCAATGGGGCATAGCAAGCAGTTCTGCCCTGGGCTGAGATTAGGCTTGCTCAGTGCGTTTGTTATTGCACAGCCCACAACTGAGTGAGCAGTTGAGCAGGGGATATGATCTCTTTCTCAGCAGTGAGCAAACTGTTCCACTGGTGATCAGTACAGGAACCAAGCAAGAAGATTTTCGCTTGGCTTCGGTTCTTAGGTTTCATGGCCCAGCAAAGAGCACCCCATCTTTGAAGATTTAATAATTTTCATTCTTGTTCAGACGGGTTGTTGCATTTGAAACCTAAAAGAAAATGTTGAATATTGCAGACTGATACCTGAAGAAGAAGAAGAAGAAGAAGAAGAAGAAGAAGAAGAAGAAGAACAACAACAACAACAACAACAACAACAACAAAACGAAAAAACTTGGTCTTACCTTAACCTTTTAGGGGTCAGCAAACTTTTTCAGCAGGGGGCTGGTCCACTGTTCCTCAGACCTTGTGGGGGGGGGGGGCGGACTATATTTTGGGAGGGAAATGAATGAATTCCTATGCCCCACAAATAACCCAGAGATGCATTTTAAATAAAAGGACACATTCTACTCATGTAATCCGTGGGCTGGATTTAGAAGGCAATTGGGCCACATCCAGCCCCCGGGCCTTAGTTTGCCTACCCATGCCTTATGCCATACATACCAAATGAGCAGAAATTACGAGGAAAAGGGTAAACAGAAATAATGTTTAATTTTTAAAAGGGCTCTGCAATGTCATGGCCCACTCATGTCCCAACACCTACCCTTCTAGTTCTTCCCTATGGATTGCATAGAGAGATGGGATTGGGACAGAGAGCCCAAGTCACATACAATGGATTGGGTCCAAAATATTCTGTTGGCACCCCATAGCTCAGAGTAAACCCTGACAGCAGGAGTTTGTCACCTGCCCCCTCCCCTGCATATTGAAATATGCCTAATGGACATATTGAAATTTTATGGAAATTTGTGCCATGGACTTGTGCCCCAAGTCTTTTACGAACACAACAATGCCCTCGATCAGATTACCCCCTCCAACATCCAGCAGAGCTCAGGTCCTACCTCCTTCCCCAAAGCGCAAACCATACCCTTCTCACTATCCATGGCATATCTTTGAACCATCGTATGGAGAAAAGATATTTTCCATTCCATTGAGATAACACAAATGGCAGCAGCTGGGCTCCATTCATTTTCTATCAGGCAGTGCACAGCAGGAAGAAAACCTTGCCTATGTACACCTTAGTATCTTGAAATTAGCTGTGCATGAAGTCGCATTCTTATGATGCTGTACACCAGGGGTCAGCCAAGTTTTTCAGCAGGGGGCCAGTCCACTGTCCCTCAGACCTTGTGGGGAGCCGGACTATAAGCCACCCCCCACTGACTCTCCCCTCCCTTCTCCACAGCACCAGACAAGCCCTGGTGTGTCTTGCAAGTGGCAGGGGCTGGCAGCAGCAGCGGCGGGACGACGAGCAGAGCACGAAAGGGCTCCGGAGAGGGGCTGCTTAAAATGGCGGCCATTTGAGTGCTGCTGCTGTTAGCACCAACAAAGCCCAGCCCCCTTCCTCCTCTAGGCAGGTCGGGGAGAAGCCAGGAGGAGGGAGGGAGGGAGGGAGGAGGCGCTGGCACCACCACCGAGGGAGGGAGAGGGAAAGAGTGTGCGCGCTGGCGATCCACGCAGCGATTCCCGGACCGACCATGGGCCGGATCCAGAAGGCAATTGGGCCTAATCCAACCTGCAGGCCTTAGTTTGCCGACCCATGCTGCACACACTAGAGAGTGTGTGTGGATGTGTCTTGTGGATGTGCGTTACCTGATTTGTTTCTGTGTCTGTAATCCCCACAGCCCTGAACTCCAATTCAATGAAGCAGTCATGTGCAATGGCTGTCTGAAATGTAGGCATCTCAGTTTAACAGTTGCATCTCTGTTGGATGGAGCTGGTTTGAGGGAAAGTACACAAACATTCTATTTAAAAAAATGCAGCGTACATGTGGATTGTGCCTAACACCATGTGCACTCAGGTTCAAACACCAGTGGTGGGCATGTGCTAGAGCCACCATAAACTGCACTGGGCTGAGATCCAAAGTTCCACAGCCTGAATTTGTGTTCTGTATGAGGAATGGCAGTGTGCACTGTGGAAGCTGCCTTCAGAATAAAAATCAAGCTACATCCAAAAATTATGCGTAAGCCAATTGTGTGAATATTTTCTGCATTTGTTCTCCCCTGTGGCCATAATTTATTTTAGCCTTTTGACTTTAGATTCCTAATTCATTTTAAGGAAGTGGTTTCATATTGCCTTAATCTCATTTCCTAAACTGAAGTTAGGCCTTCAGCTTAGAATTTCAGGTCCTCTTTTATTTATTTAGGATATTTCTGACCCACTTCCTGATCCAAACAGAACCACAAAGCATCTTACACTCCGAGGGGGGAAATCACGAAGAGCCACAAAGCAGCTAGAAGTGAGTGATTCACACAACACTTTCCCCCCCAAAAATGTGCATTTTGACCCCCCAAAAGTTGGTACCCTCCCACCTCGAATGCATACAATGCATATTACTGCCTAAAGAGCAGTCAGACCACAGAGTCAGAAATTACCTGACTGCACCACCGCAATCCTGGAAGCGTGTGCAGCTGTTTCACCCAATTAAGTGGATTTCAAAAGCAAATTCAGTTAGATTAATCAAAATGCATAGAAGCTGTTTTGCAAAAAGAAATAAACCTAGGTGCTTAGGATGAGGTACATCGTGTGGGTAACATCATGCAATGCACCCACACGAAAGGCACTGATATCATGTCTGAGTCAAACATGCTTAAGACACATTTGTTAATCACGTTCGGATGCTCCATGAGAAGCAGTCTGTAAATTAAACCAATCAATAAATCAAGGAGCACAGTTGCCTTGACAATGAAGTAAAATAGCACATTCATCATATACTCTTTCATTCCATATAATGTTGCCAGCTTTGCCTTCTTCCAAGCCTCTCAATCGTTCTTTCCCTTCTGCAAGTTTGGGCTGGCAGGACTCATGCTGCAAACAGTGGTTTCGCGTCAAAAGTTTAACCTTTACACTTGACGAAGTAGAGCTTCAGGCTTCAGTCAAACTCAGTCACCTTAGTGCTATGCTAATTGGGGCCAGCAGGCAGAGATAATAATCTCAAGCATTCCAAAGAAGACTTGTTTGCATGCTAATGTTTTGCTGGGACTCTTACTGGACTCTTCAGATGTTCCAGCAGATATATCTATGTTCCAGCAGATATATCTATGCATTTCCTCAGAGCATGTGCACATGTTGCTATGTTTCAAGTTCAGCTGGGCATGTGGCCATGGGTTTATTCTTTCCTCTGCAAATGAGAGACTGCTTTTCCCTAGCTATGGTGAGGAACAGTCCATGCTGAAATTCATTTGACACATAATGATTTGGGGAGAGTTATTCTTAAGGTGTTTATGTGTATTAGGACTGCAACAACCATGTATTCACAAACACACATATGATATACCCAAACCCATTGTCAGAGGACCAAGGATGCTTTCAGACTATTGCCATTTTGGTGAGAGATTCAATCACATACCATCAAATATGTTTTTAGTAGTTCTCATTTTTACATGAGACAGGACTCACGTAAAAATGAGAACTATTAAAAAACAGGGGGAAAGGTGGGGCATATATAAATAAACAACAACAACAACATCAACATTCACGTTATGCAATTAAAGTTGATTTGGGGGTCTTGTGTAACAAACCCACTTCCCCCATTCATAACTGCTGTCCTTATGATGTTATTATTATTCCAGCTATATACTTTGTGAATTTAACACTTGTAGTAAGAGGTCCAGCATTCCAATTAAGTCCAAACTGAATGAAAATGAATTTGTGAACAACTCTTAGTTAAACAATTCTATATTGGAGCCTTCCTCTGAAATATTTGTTGTTAACTTTGAGGTTGGCCTGTACATATTACTGGCTGAAAGAACAGCTAGGTAGTCATTTTTCTCAATCTGGATCGAAGCTGGGTTGGGTGGGGTGGGTGTGTGCATCAAAATAGAGGATGTATAAGAAACAAGGAGATAAATAGAGGCTAGATATTTGTGACTCACATCATGTGTATACAGCTTCTCAAACTAGTGGTTGGGAGTGCACTGGATGTGGAATAAACAGGGTTTTATCCAAGAGTTTTCATGACTTTTGATCCAAACAGACCAACATGGCCTCTTCTTTGGAGGGAAAACACAGGGGAAGGTTGATATACAGAAGTGATCTATGTTAGCTAGCTGGAGAGAAAATCCATGCTTCGAGATATGATACTTTTAATAAGCATAAATAAGCTACCAAACTGGAAAACAAAGAGGGGCCATCTTTATCAGAACAATGTTGGGTCATGTTGGTTATGCAAAAGTCCAGTCGTTGCGGCCTGGCAGCCAAGGACAGTTGCCTTCTGATTTTGATCAGCTGCCCCACCGTAAAATTGGGAAAATAAACATGTTACCTCACAGGTCACAAGACTAAGGGTAGTCTCATGTGGCTGAATGGAAAACAAACACCTGCAGCAGACTGATTAGCTGAACTGATGGTTTGAACATTGACAAATGTTTTATCTGAGTAAAGGAGGAAGATGGCAAATGACTCACTTGGTTCACTAATCGCCATTCTGCAGGCTGCATTTTTATTTGTGTATCACAGAAACGGAGGCGAGGAGTGTCATATTTTGCATTAGCAGAAAATAAACCATTTTATTAAAAAAACACACACAAAAATGGCTTTTTCTATTGCTTGTCAGCAGGGTGGAATTTTTTCACTCTTAAGCATCACCCTCTTCCCAGTGTGCAGTGAAAAGAAGAAGATCACGAGGTGCTCTTTGCGTGTTTCTGCACGAAGCTCAGGTATTCTTGAACATCATCCGGAGAACCAACAACAAAAGGGACTCTTTGGTGAATGGACTCTGGCTTCACATCCAGCACAGCTTCTGTCCCGGTGGTAGCTACTCCTCCAGCCTGCTCTATGATGAAAGCGATGGGGTTGCACTCATAAAGAAGTCGGAGCTGTGGCGGAAGAGAAAATCCTTTATTCAGTTTAGGTGGTTGGTGGTAGTTTAGAAAGCAACCAGGGATCTTACTGTCAACTAAAACAGTTTTTCAAATTATAGATACTCTGTATATTACAATACAGTGGTACCTCAGGTTAAGTACTTAATTTGTTCCGGAGGTCCGTACTTAACCTGAAACTGTTCTTAACCTGAAGCACCACTTTAGCTAATGGGGCCTCCTGCTGCCGCCGTGTCGCCGGAGCATGATTTCTGTTCTCATCCTGAAGCAAATTTCTTAACCTGAAGCACTATTTCTGGGTTAGTGGAGTCTGTAACCTGAAGCGTATGTAACCTGAGGTACCACTGTATCATTATTATTATTATTATTATTATTTAAAAATACTACAATCCAGGCAACGTTAAGTACTTCTAAGTCCCATTTATTTCTGTTGGAGAAATCACTTCCCTTATCTTGTCACTAGATAAGGGCCCCTCTCCCACTAGCTAGGAGCCTTAGGGTGGAAAAATTCCCATTGGAGACTTTTTTCTAAAGCTCCCAGCTCCACCGGAGTGGAATTTACATACTATTAGGCTATTTTTTTCCATATGGAATACATTCTACCCTGGCATCCCAGCTTATTTATCCATTCTCGGACTCTTCCAAACTACTGTAACTTCTTGTTGCTAACTTAACAATGGCTCCTGCAGCTCTCTTAACTGCCCAGGAATCTGAAACTGCTTGTGTTCTCTTCAGGAATAGGTGGGCAAAAGGCCATGTTCCATCATGTACTGTTTCCCTTTGTACTCTGCATTATTTGACAAAGCAGTTTGCAGAGGTTAAAGGCATGTGACACAAACATGCGTCTGTGCCCAGAAATGTACAATACGGGCTGCATTTCATAGTACAAGAGTACAGCCGGTCAAGTCATTCTCTGCCAGTTCAACCATGGCATCCTTCCTCTCCCTCCTGGCCAACAAAACATTTTGTGCACTAACCAATTGTTTCTTACAGAATCGCTAATCTTGTATAACCCTAATTCAGTCCACAACTAACTTATAAAATTTCTTAGTACTGAGCATTCTGCTACTGAAATTCAATCAGTGGAACTAACAAGTCCAACAACTATTTCGGAATGAGAAAACCATTGAATTCATCACTGTGAGAAGTGAGGTTACAGGGAACCAGGCAGAGGGCCTTCTTGGTAGTGGCGCCTGCCCTGTGGAACGCCCTCCCAGCAGATGACATCTATTTTACTTTTACCTATTTTACTTTTAAAAGACAACTGTTTAGGGAAATTTTTAATGTCTGATGCTGTATTGTTTTTAATATTCGATTGGAAGCCGCCCAGAGTGGCTGGGGAAACCCAGCCAGATGGGCTGGGTATAAATAATAAATTATTATTATTATTATTATAATTATTATTATTCATTGGGGCTTTGCTGTGGTTGTGGAACACACACAGCAGGCTGGCTGGGGTTACAGGCTGAGGTGCAATCTTTCAGGCTTAGGCAAAGTAATTTCCAGCAAAGAAATGAGAGCCAGTGTGGTGTAGTGGTTAAGAGCGGTAGTCACGTAATCTGGTGAACTGGGTTCGCTCCCCTGCTCCTCCACCTGCAGCTGCTGGGTGACCTTGGGCCAGTCACACTTCTCTGAAGTCTCTCAGCCCCACTTACCTCACAGAGTGTTTGTTGTGGGGGAGGAAGGGGAAGGAGAATGTTAGCCGCTTTGAGACTCTTTAGAGTAGTGATAAAGCAGGATCTCAAATCCAAACTCCTCTTCCTTGTATTTTGCTCACTAATGAACTGCATGGCAGGGCTAAAGTATTTGGTGGGGAGGGCAAACTTTACCAGGGCCCACCCTCTTACAATGCCAGGGAGAAGTGAATTGATGCTAAATTGGATATTCAACTTAAGGATATTAACAGAAATATTTATGTGCTGTATTAAAGTGCCTATTTTCCAGATCTTGTGAGATTCACTGGAGCCAATCAGAAGCTGCATTAGAGCAGAACCAGCAGTATTCTAAACAGTGCGCTGATGGCCTTTCTCAAGAACACAGAGATCATACTAATAGTCTGAGAGAGATCAAGTTGGGCTTCCCTAAGCAGTGACATGATCTCTCAGGAACTACCAGTCCCAGAACTCTTTGTACAGAGACAAGAGGAAGGGATGTCTGAAGCCAGGGGTGGACATTAATCAAAGACATTGATCCCAGGGACACAGTGAGACAATGCTACTGGTAGGATTCAAAGGCACAAAAAATATGTGAGTAAATCACTAGTTCACACATATGCAGCAAAAACAGTTAAGCCACCTAGCTATTTTATTCATCAAATGCTATCTGAAAGAGAAGTTTACTTTTTGGAAAGAATTAATGATTTTGCAATGGAAAAGTCTATAATAAAAACAAAGATTTACAGTGATTTGGTCTATTTATAAAATGTTTGCAGCTGCATTGATCCATCAGATTTTTAAAAAACCCTTGAAGATAAAGCCAACTCTAAAATTACAAAGTACTCAGGAAGCTCTATAGAACTATTCTCCAAACCAGATGTAAAAAATAATAATGGGAGAGTATGCTGGGTAGAAAAGCCCCAGTGGGCATCATGTTGTAATTTCAGAAATGTAGAAGATTGTAGCACTAAAAAACAAAGCTTTATTGCATAACACATGAGATTCTATGAATGGTATTGCCATATATGCATTGGAAAGGGCCCATATTACAACTTTGTATTAGGTCTCCAAAAATGATGCATGAGCCCTTATTATGTCACTTGGCTTGCAAGTAACAATACAATGCAATACAATCAAATGTATGTTTACTCAGAGGTACGGTCCAAGTATGTTTAAGATTGCGTATTTGCTCTGTTTTTCACCAGAGGGAAACCCTACGATCATTCAGCAGATAAGCCAATAGGATTTCCTGAGCAGAAATACTTGTGGTTGAATCTGCATTGCCAACCCTGACATATTTTTAAAGCTGAGGACTCAGAGAAAGTGTTCTGTGATCAAATGAAATAGGCTCACAAATATATAATTTTGCCTATTTTCTTAATCCCTTCGGGATCCTGAGAGATCTGTGGGCAACCCAGTCACGTGGGCAGCATATAAATTATATTATTATATAATATATTATTATAGCATACTATTATTATCCACAAAAGCTCACGCCATGATGCCATGATAAATGTGTTATTCTTTGAGGTGCCACAAAACTCTTTTATTGTTTCAATATAATTATACACCGAGTATGGGATGAGAAAAAGTTACCTTTCCTTTTGGACTCTTCTGGTTAGCTGGATACAAAAAGATCCCACCATACACCAGGGTACGATGAACATCAGCCACCATGGAGCCCACATATCTGGCTCCATAAGGAGAAACACCTTCCTATGAAAAAGAGGGGTAGATATATTGGCCAGTTTCTGCACACATTGATTTGCAATGGAAAAGGTTGAAACTAGGTGGAGGAAAACCATGCAAGGAACACCTGTCCACAAAAATACTATTGCTCACATGAAAGGATGATTTGGGCTTAAAGTATAAAAGATTGGTTAGATATTAAGGATTGCTAAATCCTTGATCAAATATGGGACTTTTGCTTTTAACACCAACAAAGACACTGCCCAGGTGTGGGAAACTTTTGGCCTCCACGTGCTGCTGAACATTGGCCATCCTTGCTGGACTGATGGGATTTGTATTTCAGCAACACTTGGAAGGCCAGGGGTTCCCCACACCTGATATAGTTGTTGCTCTTTCACCAGTTAATCTCATGTTATCCCCCTCTGCTGTAGGACAGAAATATAATCTTGCAGGCAAAGGCTGTGGGTGGATAACAGTATCAGCGGAGGATCAGGATAGAAGGCAAATGGTCATGTTTCATCAATTTCCCTTTCAGATGACAAAGGGAATTGATGCTACCTGACAAACTTGGAAGGATTTAGTGTTCTTTTCCTGAAAAAGCAATAGTGTGAATTGTCATAATTGATGTAGTAACTTGTCTCCTTCTGCTTGGAATCCTAGAAGTGTATTGTTCTCTGTGATGCCACTCAATCAAACATTTCTTAAGTGCTCCTAATAGGAGTCATCTACCCACATTTTGTGGGGTAGATTCCGCAACATGAGAAAGCTTCTTGGTTCCATCTATTGTGCTCTTGCTTAAAACCAAGAAAGTACTGTTACTTGTTCTCAGCTTTTGAGTTCCCTGGCTTTGCACCTGCATTTTAAGGAGGAAGTACCAGCCATAAAACTCAAAAGAAATGATTCTGCAGTGAGCAGCAGAGCAGCATGTTCCGCTTCCCTTCATAGATACCAGTCTCCTATAAGTCAGCAACATACACAGCTGTTACAAGAGGCTTCAAAGGTTATTTGAGATATTGGGGTTACAGGGACATCTGATGGAGTTTCAATTCCTTTAATGGCTTCTTGCATAGGAAACATTCTTTTTTGGCCATAAGATTTCCCCAGCAGCACCTGGGAACCATTTTTACTTTTAAAAGATGAAACTCTTACAATGAGGGGCCAAAAGAGCAGCCAGGCATTTAAAGAATTTTGAAACTCAGCTCGGTGGCTTTCAGGCAGTGAATCCAGTAATTGTGATTCAATGACCTCCTGCTTTTAAACAATTCATTAGCTTTGAGTACAGATTACTTACTTAAGCTGGACTGTGTGCTTGACACAGGGAAGGTGGAAAATTCAGCCATGTGGCATGAAATTTTCAAGAAGTCCCAGTTCCAGAATTTTACATGGTGCTAGCCCCAATGAGAGGGACGAGGGTGGCACTGTGGGTTAAACCACAGAGCCTAGGACTTGCTGATCAGAAGGTCGGCGGTTCGAATCCCCGCGACGGGGTGAAAGCACATCAAAGTGCAAGTAGATAAATACCATATTTTTTGCTCTATAAGACTCACTTTTTCCCTCCTAAAAAGTAAGGGGAAATGTGCGTGTGTCTTATGGAGCGAATGCAGGCTGCGCAGCTATCCCAGAAGCCAGAACAGCAAGAGGGATTGCTGCTTTTACTGCGTAGCGATCCCTCTTGCTGTTCTGGCTTCTGAGATTCAGAATTATTTTTTTCTTGTTTTCCTCCTCCAAAAACTAGGTGCGTCTTGTGGTCTGGTGCATCTTATAGAGCGAAAAACATGGTAGGTACCACACCGGCGGGAAGGTAAACGGCGTTTCCGTGCGCTGCTCTGGTTCGCCAGAAGTGGCTTAGTCATGCTGGCCACATGACCCGGAAGCTGTACGCCGGCTCCCTCGGCCAATAAAATGAGATGAGCGCCGCAACCCCCGAGTCGGCCACGACTGGACCAATGGTCAGGGGTCCATTTACCTTTATCTTTAGCCCTAATGATTCTTCCCCCCCCGCCCCTGTGATTGATGCTTGAGCTGTCTGCAGCTCTAACGAAAAGCAAGCATCTGATCACCATTAACAGGAAGCCCTGTGATCATGATGATTGTGGAACAAGGAGAGTTGCCACCTGGTTTCCTGACCAAAGTTCTACAATAACTTTGCAATGAAATGTCTGGGAGGACTGCATCTGTTTAACTCTGACATAATATGACTTACTGGGAGACGGGTGGTGGCAAGGACGAGAGAAGGTAGCAACCCTATTGGCTACTGTAATGGTTCTAGGGGTTGCTTGTGCGTAAGCCTGTGCCAACACCTGGCTGGGTTGCCTGAGTGAACCTTTCCTGTCCGGACAGCCACTCGCCCGTGACTGTCTCAATCACTGGCAGAATCCGTCAGTGGGCGTTTCTTAAACTTCTTCCAGCAAAGAAGCTCCTTGACGCCAAGTCTCCTCCTACTCTCCCTGCACGGAAGCCTTCTGCGCAAGGAGGGTGTAGGCAGCGGAGGACCCTTCCTCTCCCCGCTGGTCCCCGGCAAGGAGTCATGGGACCGCCTCGCCGATTCCCCCATCTGCCCCCCTTCACCACTGAAGCTATGCTGATTCTCTTCCCCAGAAGACGGGCTGCCTCTCCCAATCCTGGGACACTCTCTGGGATCCCTTTGGAGCTTGCTCTCTCCCTCGGACACTGATGGCAGTTCCCTGACAGCTACTTAGAGATTTTAAGGTTCTAACATTTCAAATAAATGCTTTCTCATATAGCTCAAATTCTAAATAGCACCATCTTAAACTGGTTTGTACAGGGTGTGTTTACATCTAGGTAAAGGGACCCCTGACCATTAGGTCCAGTCGCGGACAACTCTGGGGTTGCGGCGCTCATATCGCTTTATTGGCGGAGGGAGCTGGCGTACAGCTTCCGGGTCATGTGGCATGACTAAGCCGCTTCTGGCGAACCAGAGCAGCACACGAAAACGCCGTTTACCTTCCCGCCGGAGTGGTACCTATTTATCTACTTGCACTTTGACGTGCTTTTGAACTGCTAGGTTGGCAGGAGCAGGGACCGAGCAACGGGAGCTCACCCCATCATGGGGATTTGAACCGCCGACCTTAGGTCGGCAAGTCCTAGGCTCTGTGGTTTAACCCACAACGCCACCCGTGGCCCGTGTTTACGTCTACCTGCTTCATTTTGTTACTGGATATGAATTACGGCAGTTGAACTGATATTCATGAGAGCAAGTTAGGGAACACAACTGAACTATCATTGGATTCCGCAGTATGATTCCATGTTTGAAATATAGGTAGCATGGTGACAGAGTGATGTCACTTCCTTGATTTGTTTTGTGCTTGCTCTTTTTGTTTGTTACAAATTGCACAAGCAGTCGATTTTAAATGTCAGGTTTTCAGGTCATGTTCTGACAAATGTACCCGGAGTTTACAAAAATAAGACAGGATAAAACAGAAGTGCCTGTATCCTACTCAACTGCTTACTTTTTGAAACCTGTGCCAAGCAGTTCGGGTTTCTACAAAATCAAACCCACTTCTCTGTTTCCAAGAAACTGTAAGTTACTGTAATGCATTACAGCACAAACAATATCCTTTCCAGTCTAAAGAGTGCTTATACATTTTGCATAAGGCTAATTTTACCTCAATCCATTCAGCTAGCAATGAAATCATTATGATCTCACTATGGGGGCGGGGGATGATGCAAGGAATTTATTTAAAGGGATATCCTCAGATTAGAATAAAAAGAACACCAAATTTACAAGGGCAATTGGAGGTCATGGTCTTGGAACCCCAATGGCAGGTTCGGAGGTAAAGCTAAGCTATGGTTTAAGAAGTGTTTTGTGTATGAGTCACAGTGCAACTCACGCTTGTGTGTTTCTCATTTCTTTCCACTGCTCTGGTGTATGCCAGAAGAGAAAAAGGAAACATCTCCTTTTTAAACCTTTAAAATAACCATAAATCTCATTTAAGTCCAAACTTGGGGAACCTATAGATTCTCAAGTTTGGACATGAGGCTCTCTGGTTACTTTAAAACTTCAAAAGAAGCTTTTGATCTCTTCCTCTGTCATGAGAAAAAGGAGGAGAAAGGAGTGGGGAGTGAATTAATGATTTTTATTTTTATTTTAATTAGGCCTGGACTATAGCAGGAAGGAAGGGAGAGTTCACAATTCTAAAGCTCATTATGTAAAAGTAAACTATGGTTTTGCATTACATCTGTCTTGACGACAGCAAACCCAGGTACGCTTAATTTGGAGGAAACCCAATTTAAAAATGTGATATTTGCTTTCAAGTAAATATACTTAAGAGTTGGTTGTGTAAATTGACAATCCTGTAGGAGAATCCTGCCCATTGTTAAGTCCTGCTTTATGCTTGTTGATAGACTCTGCTGTGTTATTTTAATAGCTTTTTGATTTTTCATGTTTTATTACTGCCTTGTTAACCAGCCTGGGATCCATGTGACTGGAGGGCCATTAAGAAATCTAACGAACAAATTAATAAATAAAAAAATATTCAGTGTGACAAGCTTAGAAAATTGTTAACATATAGCTTTACTTGGTTATTTTTGTGATGTCATTACCCAATACAGAGTACCAATACCTCTTTATTTTTCTTTTATTTGTTGCACTGGCTTTAACACAATAGGTTATTTCATAAGCAGAATCAGGTAATACCTGTATTGAGTTTAGAGCATTCCAAAGAAAATATAGATGCAAAGAGCAGGAAGGGTGTCGTTGCTTCAGTACTTAACCATTACAGTACTAGCAGGAAGTTTTCTACCATAGATCTTGAGTTATTTTTGTATGACACATAAATATTAGGTTAGTATTTGCTAGAGCAACACCAACATACCATTGATACTTGATACTAAGGAAATGCTACTTAGTTCTTTTCTACCTAAAATTATTTTTTAAATTGTGGTTCATTAAGCACAAGGACAGTTCTGGGGGTTGTTGTTTTTTCTCGGGTGGGGAGGCTGCTCCATAAAAATCAGGGCTGTCCCTTGAGAACAGTTGGGCTGCAGTCAAATAAACTGCTAACTGTTAACTTCTGCATGATATTTGAGCTTTCATATGATGTAAAAGCCAAAGCTGGAACTATAGTGGAATAGAATGCAAGTTTAGTACTGGTATCCAGTGCTTTTCTTCTACAAAAATGTTTAGGTGAACTCCCATTTTGACTCAAGAAAATCACCATTTTTAAGTTCAAATTGGGAAAAATAAATACAGTAAATGGACAAAAGTGCAAAGATTCACAAAATGTTTAGGGGTATGCGTATCCCTGCGTACCCCCCCAGAAAAAAAAGCACTCCTGATATCTATATTATTTACAAACAGGTTTTTTCTCTGAAAGCAAATAACATGGAAGTGAGTCCTAAACTTGCACTACATCCCACTATAGTTCCAGAAGCAGTTTTTGCATGCTGTTAAAGCTCAAATCAAAGGGACATGGGTGTACGCCAGCTCCCTCGTCCAATAAAGTGAGATGAGCGCTGCAACCCCAGAGTCGGTCACAACTGGACCTAATGGTCAGGGGTCCCTTTACCTTTAAAGCTCAAATATAATGCAGAACTTAACAGTTAGGGGAAAGCTGTGAATAAACAGCCATGTGAATGCAGGCTTCCTGAGTGCAGGCAGTTAACATTTTGCGCAGAGGTTCTGTTCCTGGCCCCCACACATGTTGGCAGAGCAAGCATAAGCCCATTCTGCCCTCTTCTGGGTTCAAAAGGACCCGCACATCGGCAGTCATGTGTCAATTGGACACACACATAACACGTCACCATTTGTACTGGTATTTTCAGTGGCTGGAAGGCTGTGACTGTTTTGCTGCCTCACTCCTTTCCAGCTGAAGCTAAGTGAAGCTGCCTTTGTATAGGAATGTTTTAATCTCCACTAAGCACCTTACTCTTTCCTTTGCCTGCCCTTATCTGCCACATGTTGTCATGGGTCTTCATTTGCAGACACATCTTAAGAACTCTCAAATCAACAAATACGACAACATTGACTTTTGTTCCCTTCTATTTAAAGTAGATTTGAGTGCAAATAACTGAGGCTTCTGATGCAGACATCTTACGTTGCAAGCATCTTGCAATCTGCCCATACCAAAGGGAACAACCCATGTTCTGACCTCTCTCGCTGCGATCCAGTTTGTCCCCAGTTAAAGTGCACCCTTTTAGCGTCAGTGAGAGATAAGGGAAGAGAATGTGGTCCTCTGGGAGAGATAGGAACCACAAGTGTGCAATTATTTTGCACAGATTGAGGAGCTTCGTATGTTTGAATCGAGTCTAATAGCCATAGGTAAAGGTACCCCTGCCCGTACGGGCCAGTTGTGACCGACTCTAGGGTTGCGTGCTCATCTCGCTCAAGAGGCCGGGAGCCGGCGCCGTCCGAAGACACTTCCGGGTCACATGGCCAGCGTGACAAAGCTGCAGCTGGCGAGCCAGCACCAGCGCAGCACACGGAAACACCGTTTACCTTCCCGCTATAAAGCGGTACCTATTTATCTGCTTGCACTTAGGGGTGCTTTCGAACTGCTAGGTGGGCAGGAGCTGGGACCGAACGACAGGAGCTCACCCCGCCGCGGGGATTCGAACCGCCGACCTTACGATCAGCAAGTCCTAGGCACTGAGGTTTTACCCACAGCGCCACCCGCGTCTAATAGCCATAGCTGTCAACATTTCCCTTTTTTTAAGGGAAATTCCCTTATTCCGAACAGGAAAAGAAAAGGGAGAAGTTGACAGCTATGCTAATAGCATATACAGCTATTTCACCTGCAAAGTGAGTGCACTTTCTGCATTTTCATATTTCAAGCTTCTGACTTTGCAATTTAAATACACATGGTTCTATATTCGCTTCTGTGGTTTGGTGTCAACATTGACTTGAATGTTCGACTCACCTAGTTCCCAAGGATAGGGAAATGTAACAACCTAGGTTACAGGAAGAGGAAGGGAACTGCTGGGAAGTGCCTGGGACTGGTATAGGAAGGTATAGCCCAGGGGTCAGCAAGGTTTATCTTGCCTGGGCTGGATCAGTCCCACAGAGATCTCTCCGTGGGCCGAATCACATGTGTGTGTGAGCGCCCCCCCCCCGATTTTCGGCATCTGCACAGACACAATTTTCGGCGCCTCGAAAATGAGTCCCCACGCTGCACTGGTTTAGCGCAGCGCGCAAGCGGGCAACTCAGTTCGGGGGCGGCTCGTGGGTCAGTAAAATGGCCTCCGCAGGCCGCTTCCGGTCCATGGGCCTTAGGTTGCTGACCCCTGGTATAGCCAGATAGAGCAGAAGCAGGCAAGGAAGATGAGACGTTAAATTCATATGTGCATTTAATGTATCTTGCCTTTTGCTTTAAAAATAACAGCCATGGAGGATCTAAATCAAGATTGCAACCTTTCCCCTGAATCCCACCCTGGTGAATAATCCTCACCCGCAAGCTTCCATTGGCACCATGCCACATTCCCTCTCAAAGGAAATAGCAATTGTTATGGTGTAGGATTTCCATGGTACCGGATGATAAAATGACATGGATGTATCCCGGGGGGGGGGGAGGGAGCTGCATTTAAAATACTAAATTAACTGAGGTTCTGCTCCCACCCCCCCAGCAGAAGCCTGCCCCCTGTAATGTTCTGTTACCCATGATCTCCCCCCAAAAAGCTCAACAACTTTTGGGGGCAATCTGTCAAAAAAAGCTTAACAACAGTCAATCCAAAAACTAGCTATGCCCACGTAAAATGTATCCCAGCGTAAACTGTGCTTTACGTATAATGATGATGAGATTTGCCCAGTTTCACAGACAGTAGCATGATAGAGTTGCAATAAAACGGTATATTACCTCAGGAAATTTCTTCTTTTGTAAATACTCTGTCACTGAAGGATCAAAGTACTTGGCATAGCCCTCATTGAGGCTGTAGATTTTCCCTTTCTTCTTGATTTTTACGTCTTTTTCCACGAGAATGAACTCGCCGAGAGCCTGCAGAATAGTTAAAGGATGTCACGAGTCATAAATGCCATGCGTTTACTTCCTTGACGTTCTGAGGCTTGTCCAGTTACGACCCTAATATACAGTTACATGCTCCCTACTCTTTCAAAGAGTAATAAGGCTTGGTTGCAATCCTAAATATACCTGCCAGGGTATGAGACCAATGGAACACCCTTCCGAATAAACATGCATGGGATTGCAATATGAGTTCCTTTTCAAAAACAGAGTCCAGGAAACTTACAGTGCATTTGTAACATTTGCTTTTTTGCTGTGGACAAAGAGGGCTTTAAAGGGCGCTCAGATATCTCCTGACTCTCTCTTTTTTTAAAATGAATTTTATTAGTGTTTTCCACACAACAAAACAACTAAAAACAAAACAACAAAAACAAAACAACAAAAACAAAACAACAAAAACAAATCCATATCTTACAAGTTAATATTGTAAACACTAAAACAACAACAACAAGACATTGACTTCCACCAATCCCACAGCACCTCCTTTATCTCTCATTGTGTCTTCCTGTTTTCCTGTTTTCTTTATCATCTCTATCCTAACATCTAGATATAAATCCTTCTTTCATATCCTTTCACTTCACAAGGTTATTCCAGACTCAGCCAGATTTCTGCCCTTGAACCTTGACTTTTGAGGTATTCATTTAGGCACCCCCATTCTTTTTTTACTTCACTTTTTGGTTTTTGTCTTATTATGTCTGTCAATTTGTCAAATTGACAGATATCTCCTGACTCTCAACCGCCCTCACCCTTTCCGTTACTTTTTTTGCAACTTGTTTGAAGCACCCATCAGATGAGACTTGAGCAGCATTTCTCTACCGAATTCCTCCTTCTCGCTGCTGACATAATTTAGTTGTTCTTCTAGCTACCTAACAAGGGATTACACTCTCGCTACGATGATAGCGTGATGCAAAGTGAGGGCAGGAAGCAATGCAATCACTCAAAATGAGTGGCCAGCAAGGGAGCTACACTCTGCATGCTGAAAGGGTGGGGTGAATTTCATATGAATACGAGAGGGTGGCAGAAAATAGTATTAGTAAGGAATGTTTGCACAGGTACCGGATCCAGCATGAAGCAGTCCACTCCTTGCCCCGTGGAAAGGGCTACCAAGGTTGCACTCCCGTACAAAGCATAGCCGGCTGCGACGATGTTGCGCCCCGGCTGCAAGGCATCTTTCTCGGAAGGCTCGTCTTCTGATGTCTAAGGGGAAAGTGATGGTTGTACTCAAATCTCAAGTATTTTGCTGTTATTATTAAAACGCATTTGAAGAAGAAGAAAAATAAAACCACAAATTCAAATAGGACTCTCTCCTAGTTATGGCGCACATTGTACAACAGGCCCTTGTGAAAGCTTTGTATCGACACCTGATATAACGAGATAGAGTTTGGGGGCATTTTTGTAAGAGGATCTCGAGTGATAATTTCAGTGACAAACTGCAAATGGAGAACCACAGGAGGGGCACATCCAGCAGTAGTTATAAAATGCCAGTAAACGGACAGTGTTATTTTTATCTATTTATTTCACTCACCAATTGCTTCCCATGAATCATCCCACAGCGATTTAATAATAATAAAAACAGGAGCAATGAAAGCCATTTCAAATCCAATATGTAGATAGGCTGGGATAAAAGACTTGTTGGAAAAGGAAGGCCTTCAACAGGTGCCAAAAAGAGTAAAGAGGGTGCCTGTCTGCTATGCAGTGGGAGGAGGTTCCAAAGGCTAGGTGCCACCACACTAAAGGCCCAATTCTTGCATTGTACAGAATGGATCGGCTGCTGTATGGGGTTTTGTACAGCAGTACTAACAGCTTGAACTTAGCCCAGTATCTAACTGGCAGCTAGTGGCAATAGAATATTCATCTAATGAAGCACTCTTGGAAACAATTCACAATGCTTCTGTACATGTTAAAATCTTTTTGTTGCTGTTCAAACTTCAGAATATTGTTAATAGTTCTAGCATTTTCCAGGGCACCTTAACTTCCAATCATGCCACATGGAAACCCCTTTCACAAGCCCATTTTCTCACCTAATCATCTTGTGGTGATTTTTTTCTGAATCTTAGGAAATTAATATACAATCTGGAGCCGATCACTGCCTCTCATCCAAACCAACCTTATAGGGTTGTTGTTGAGATTCAAGTTCTAGGGGTAATTTTCTGTATCATTAGCATGGAGTTAGCAAGTATATGTATGGCTTTTGCAAGGAAAACTATTTATTTGGATACCCACAGCATAGCGAAGATATAAAAAAAAAATGCTGCCAAGTTACTAATGTCTTTAACAAATAATAATTAGAGAATCACCATATTTTTACATTCCATACCCCTATTAATAATGTTGTAGTATTGCTTTGAGACTTGAAGCTGCAATCTCATACCCACTTTCTGGGAATAAATTCTACCAAACTCCCATCTTTTAAAAATAGTTTTTATTAAAGGGTTTTTTTTGTGTTACAAAACAAATAAAGAGGGAGAGGTACATCCCTTGTCTCCACTTTCAATTCATAGTCTATTTCACACTTTGCTTGCATTTAGTGATACACACTTTTGTCATAGACATCATGCATTTAGGGGGGGTGGGGAGGAAGAGGGCTGAACCCCCGTTTTGTTCCATTTCTCAACTCACCTTCTTGTAAATAGCAAATATAGTTCCTATCGAAGCTAAGCAGTCTATGTTGGAAGAGCCATCCAGTGGATCAAAGCACACGACATATTTACCCTGAAAGAGGAGGAACAAATCAAATGAAAAGAAAAGCAAATAAAAATCTTTTCTCTCTCTTAATCTTTCAAATCTGGCTGGAGTACTACGCACTGAAACAATTTTGTATTATACTAAAATACACTGGTATAACTTTCATGCCTTCACCACCCTCCCCAGAACCCTGTGAATTATAGTTTTCTGAGAGGTACCTTCAATTCCCATGATTTCATGTACTTATCACTTCATTCAGTTTCATAATCACACTGACCCCCATTGCTCAGTTTCCTTTTATTAAATCTGTCTCCCTTTCTGGTATGCAGTTGTGTTTAGCATCTTTCAGGTAATCAGGCAAACAACTTCTTTTCTCTTCAGAAATACAATTGTGCCATCTGCTGCTAAAGGGAGAGAACAGCCCCTCTTCCCAGTCAATCTGAATGTGTACCGACCCTTTTATCTTTTGGAGTAATAATAGCTTCTTTATTCTCCTCTGAGACCAGGACACATGTGCTGTACGAGGACTGTAGCATGTTAATAACCAGAGAATTAGATAAAACATCAAGCTTCTTCTGTTCATCCCCAGTCACATTCACAGTGCCAGCTATTCCGAACCTATAGGAAAGGGCTTCGTTATTATAATAAGGGAACACCGAAAAGTACATATCATACTGCAATACTGTTTTACATTATTTCCTTACTATTCCCTTTTACTTGACTTTCACACTGACATGACTCAAACTGTCCCTCATGTAATTGTCTCAGATTTATAAGGACTTCCCAAACCTTTTACTAGTGATAAATACCAATTAAAACCTGTGTTGGAACTCATATGTTCAGAAAACTCAGCTGGATGCTAGTTACAGCAATACACTATAGTTTTATTTTGCTTGACAGCCTGAGGATAATCCCCACGATACATGGGTGATCCTAATCTGTATTTGCACAACACCGTCAAGAGAGAATTACAATCATGATGCAATGGCTGTATGGAGCTAATAGCACATGAATCAACTATCAGTGATAAAATATTCTCCTCATACCGCAGAAGAAAGCTTAAATAGAAGTTTCTATGCCCTTTCCTATGCACTCAGAGGACAGCCTTATTGATTTGATTTCGGGTAAGCAGGCTTAGGACGTGAAGACTGACACATCACCATTGATTCAGTGAGCTGGACCTGAGAGTCTAAACATGATAACAATAGTTTCTGTGTGAGTGAGCAGAGACAATGCAATCTTAACAGATAAAAAAATATTGTGGGAGAGAAATGGAAGCCTCTGTCCTGGAAATTAAAATAGAAAATATGGAGTAATAACAACAGCACAATAACAATTTGGCCGCCTGACTGATTAGTCTTCAACATGTATTCATTTCTCACTAGAGGTACCGTATTTTTTGCTCTATAAGACTCACTTTTTCCTTCCTAAAAAGTAAGGGGAAATGTGTGTGCGTCTTATGGAGCGAATGCAGGCTGCGCAGCTATCCCAGAAGCCAGAACAGCAAGAGGGATTGCTGCTTTCACTGCGCAGCGATCCCTCTTGCTGTTCTGGCTTCTGAGATACAGAATATTTTTTTTCTTGTTTTCCTCCTCCAAAAACTAGGTGCATCTTGTGGTCTGGTGCGTCTTATAGAGCGAAAAATACGGTATCTACTTCCTTTCACAAGCTTCCAGCTTATGACTTCACTCTGCTCTAGTGTTTTCATGTGCATATTTTATTGTTTTATTTTTTAATTGTGAAATATGTTGTACCCTGCCCTGGAATAAAATTTTGAAGGGCAGCATACAGATTTCTAAAAACAAACAGATAATAGTACTTCATTTGGAAGTGTTCATAATATTTTAGAGACAAGGAAGGGGTGGGCAAACGCCATTATAAATGTATGGCAGGGAAAGTGGATTCACACATGACTTGTTCACTTGAATGTCCCTAGCATATACAACTGTACGACTCTTTGAACTTTTGCAAACCTTGGGGAAATAGAGGTCACGATCCCATGAAGTAAGCCCTGCAGGTGTTGGCTTTATGGCATCAAGTTTATGCAGGCATTCAACTCAACGTGCACACCTGTATTGAGTTAGGTTTTAGCAATCCTGCTTCTCTCTTCACAAGGACTTATTTTACTTCGCCTTTGCTCTTCCACTGTAAGCTGAAAGCAAAATTGCCATTGACAATCCACGGTATTGAGATCCTGCGTGTACATTCTACTTATGCTAAGGATGGGGCAATTTGAAGCTCATCACACATCCACTACAAACCCTGAGGTAGGTGCTGCTTTATTTGTTTCACCAAATTTTTAATTATTACTAAACACCTCTGGCACACACACTTATGACTACTGTATAGCCAGAAAAGTGTTAGCCATAATTAAAAAGTTGCTTTTAAAAATTGGCTCATAAAATGGCTCCCATTGCAAATGCCATATAGATATTAAATAAAATATAGAGCCGGGGTGGTGTACATACAAAACTGCAAGAGTGTTAAAATACAATTAAAAACAATGCAGAATGATAATGTCGGGCTCATCCTAAAAGCTTAAACCACTGTTTACAAATAATGAATATGTGTGGCTGATCTGCGATAGGTTCTCTTTCCTGATACATCGGTGCCCATGTAAAAAAACCCACCCTTTTAAAAAGACAGAAGTTGTGCTAAAGGTATGTAAACTTGTGGAGATTCTTCTACTATTTCAGTTCCTTGGGGGTGGGGGGAAGTCACAGATATTTTGCTGTCTGGTAAAAGATGAACCAGACTCCCCATAGGTCCAGAACCTTGAGGAGCAGAGAGAGCCCCCTAAATCCAGTGTTCTGGATCCCCCTGAGGGATCTCTAGGTCGTTACCAGACAAGGAACCCCTGGAGCTGTCAAAAGAGGAGGTAGAATAAGCCCTAGTCCTTGAAAGCACCGTGTCAACAACTTCAGGAAAAGGCCAAAGAGCACAGTGCAAATGTCTACAGACCCAGAGTTACCAGTCTACCCCTGAGTATGGGGTTTACTCAAGAGCAAGGAGTGCCTGATGGTCCTTCACAGTTAGCTGCTGTGGCTAGAGAGTGGTTTAGGAAGTATTTAAGGCCTCCTAGAGTCTTCCTTTTGCTGGAAACAATGCAGTTTTCTGGTTCTTTGTTTCTGCTTACAGTTCCCCTGCCTGGCTGAGCTCCCTGATGGGGGGGTTTTCTAGCCTTGCTTCCGGATAATGCTTTGGCCCTAGACTGATTCTCTGTGCTTGAGTTTGGCTTGTTTTTTAAGATTTATTTTTATTGAAGATTTTCTTGGTTTACAAAAGCTCATGCCTTTTTTCAGGTGGTACAGTCTTTCTTACAAATACAGTGCTACCTCAGGTTACATACGCTTCAGGTTACAGACTCCGCTAACCCAGAAATAGTACCTCGGGTTAAGAACTTTGCTTCAGGATGAGAACAGAACTCGTGCTCCGGCAGCGCAGCAGCAGCAGCAGCAGCAGGAGGCCCCATTAGCTAAAGTGGTGCTTCAGGTTAAGAACAGTTTCAGGTAAAGAACAGATCTCCGGAACGAATTAAGTACTTAACCCAAGGTACCACTGTACAGTGGACACTCGTGTTGCAAATGTGATCTGCGGGATGCACATTCGCAATCTGCAGCTGCCTGTCTGCACACGTGGGGGTTGCAATTTGGCGCTTCTGCGCATGCACAAAGTGCAATTTAGCGCTTCTGCGCATGCGTGACCACTAAAACCCGGAAGTATACCGTTCCGGTACTTCTGGGTTTCAGCAGTCCGTAACACAAAAAACGCAACCTGAAGCTTCTGTAATCCAAGGTATGACTGTAGTGAGACATCAGTGCTGAGTAGTAGAAGAAGAGTTTGGATTTGATATCCCGCCTTTCACTCCCCTTCAGGAGTCTCAAAGCGGCTAACAATCTCTTTTTCCCTTCCTCCCCCACAACAAACACTCTGTGAGGTGAGTGGGGCTGCGAGACTTCAGTGTGACTGGCCCAAGGTCACCCAGCAGCTGCATGTGGAGGAGCGGAGACTCGAACCCGGTTCCCCAGATTACAAGACTACCGCTCTTAACCACTACACCACACTGGCTCAGTATAAGGTTGGGGGAAGAAGAGGGGGGTGAGGCTTATATTCTTTTCTATAGTGTATGTTTGGGGATTTGTGTCAGTGTCAACTAGGTAGGTTCTCTTTCTATTCATTTATTACATTTCCTTGATAGTGAGAGGGATTGGGGGGCAGGGTGTGGTTGGCTGCAATGGGGTTTCTTTGCATTTGTGAGTGGGGGGGGCTTGTTGGGTCAGGTAAGCCAGATTGATTCGTATGCTGTCGGTGAATTCTTCTTGTTGTCTTGATGGGCTGTGTATGTGATAAAGGGGAGCCATACTGGGGTGAAGGTATCCTCTTCTATTGTCCCTGTGTCAATTTCAGTTTATTGGTTAGCTTTTCTAGCAAGTTCATTTCCCAGACAGTAATTGGTTCAGGTTTACTTCTGACAGGTGTCACCAATGTCTGGCTATGAGGCTGCTGGCTGCTGAGAGTAGGTGAGTTATAAGCTCTGTATAATGTGAATGGTCATTATGATCTTGGAAGGTGTTCAGTAGGGCCAGTTCTGGGGTAAGTTCCAATACGTGTTTCGTTATTTTGCATATCTCTTGTAGGACTGCTGTCCAGAAGGGTTGGATTTTAGGGCATTCCCGCCACATGTGGAGGTAGGTACATGTGGAAGTGCAGCCTCCCCAACATCTTGGTGAGGTTCCTGGGCGTATCAGCGCCAGTTCCTGTGGTGTTAAGTACCATCTGTAGGTGAGTTTCAGAGTGAGTTCCCTTGAGTTTGGCTTGCTGAGATCATGCTGCATCTTGAACTCTGCTCTCTTGGGCAAAAAAAGCTTGGGCAAAAAAAGCTCTAGAGCAGGGGTCGGCAAAGTTTCTGTGGCTTGGGCTGGTTCATGGTCCCGCAGACGCTGCAGTGAGCCAGAGTGTGCGCGCGCACACATGCGCAAATGCTATTTCCGGTGCTCCTTCCAGCGCGGAGGAGGCATGCGCAGCTTCCCATTGGCTGCAGGAGCTTCCTGCACCCTATGGGAATCTGGCCAGCATCAGGGAAGGCAGTCCCTGCTCTGTTCCTCGCTGGTTTAGCGCGGAGCGTGGGAGCCGACCGAGTGGGCGGCGGGGGTCCATGGGCCGATTAAACGACCCCCATGGGCCGCTTGGGCCTTAGGTTGCCGACCCCTGCTCTTGAGCATGACAGATGGAAGAGTCACAGCTAAAACACAGGATTACAATGATGGGATAGGGTTCCCTTGGAATAAACGAAGGATGACAATTCCACACAAAATTCCTAGTGGGGAAACCTCCATATATAACTGTTGCTGAAAAAAGTAAGGAACAGTTAAAATTACTGTGTAACAATGATTCTCCTTGGCGATATTTTTCCAGCCTAATGGGAGAGCCAACCAAACAAAACTAATAATCGGAGTATAATCTCTGAAAGCTGTTTTTATACTAGCTTACATTTAACATTGTCATCATGTTAATTATAACTCTTTAACCAGAAGGGATATCCTTCAGATGTTGTTGGACTACAGCTCACGTCAGCACCAGCCAATGGTAATCTGCAATGATAGGCACTGTAGTCTAGCAACTGGAGTTAAGTACCATTGAACATAATGGGATATGCTTTTGAATAAAGATGCGCAACAACTGCATGTTTTGTATACTATTCTCCAAGGTTCTCACATTTTGTATAGTGCCACTTAGAGTTGTGGTGACAATTTCTTTTTTAAAATTTATGCATGAGATGAAGAAATGAGTCACTCGTTTTAATATGAATTTTATAAGAGTGGGTTTCCATGCAATAGCCAACGTGTACGTCCATGCTGAATGAAGACAGTGCCATTCCAATCACTTCAGACTGTGATTAAGCCAAATTAACTGCTTGACCTTCTTGTTTGACCTTGATGGCAATAGAAATGGGGCACACGAGAAAAGCAGCCTATTCCCATTTTTTTTAAAGTAAATAGTAATACAGGTAATTGCAGGTGCTGCCACTCCCATTATTAAAGCAGTCAGTAGTTAGCTGCAGTAGTTATTCTTAAAACTTTGGCCAAACTAAAATCAGTGACCATTTGATTGTGGAGTTTCTGTAATTTAACATGACTGCAATACTAGCCTTCTTTCATTTCAGGCACATGGAATTCCCATACTGCTATTCTGGCCATGCCATTTAGTTTAAACGCTTCATGCTGTGTTTAAAATAAGGAATTCCCAATGCTCACACCCCCCCCCCCATTATATTTAAAACAATTCTTATCCTCCCCAGTTCTGTGCAACTCACATATGAGCAAGGCCTGCCTTTCGAACCGCCGAAGAGATGGCCTTTATGGCAGTGAGCATCGAGTTCAGCAGCTGGGTCAGTTCTCCTGTGGCCCCTTTAACCCGCCGTCCTTTCTCCATGACATATCGGTTAAGGGTTAACATGTCTGTTTCAAAGGGGCTTCTGTCCGACATCTTGGCTGGTGAAAAGGGTCTGTTTTCTTCAATAGAATTTAGCAGTTCCTTTGCACCCGCAGTGTTGCTGCTGTTCAGTGGCAGTTTTATTTTAAGAAGAAGCAGTTGGCTTGCATGCGAGAAGCGGTTTAGTAAAAGGTTTCTGAGCCCATGTGACTTACAGGCTTGGAATAGATGGGCAGTGCAACTCCTCTGAATTTTCCAGTCTGCAAGAGATCCTATTAATCTTAACCTTAACCTTCAATGCCGGCTAAAAAAAAAGTTGGTTTGGCAAGCCTACCCAACTATGTAATTATGTACATTTGTTTTTCAAATTTATTTTAACTTTATTTTGATAATTTTTTGTTTAGTGTTTTGTTGCCTTTTTATTTGCATTTTAATGAATATTTTATACCATTTTATGTGAACTGCTTTGAATCCCCCCCCCCTTGCTGTCCCCCTTCCCCTTAGATTTTTCCTAGGTGATTTTTGTAAAAATTAAAAACAAAATTATTAGAACAATAATTTTCTGATGGGAAAATGTCAGTAATAAAGAGTAAAAAAAAAAAAAAGGTAAAGGACCTCTGGGGTTGCGGTGCTCATCTCGCTTTCAGGCCGAGGGAGCACAGACAGCTTTCCAGGTCATGTGGCTAGCATGACTAAACCGCCTCTGACGCAACGGAACACCATGACAAAAACCAGAGCACACAGAAACGCTGTTTAGCTTCCTGCTGCAGCAGTACCTATTTATCTACTTGCACTGGCGTGCTTTCAAACTGCTAGGTTGGCAGGAGTTGGGACAGAGCAACAGGAGCTCACCCCACCGCAGGGATTCGAACCACCAGCCTTCTGATTGGCAAGCCCAAGAGGCTCAGTGGTTTAGATTACAGCGCCACCCACATCTTTACCTGATAAGCAGTATATGTGATGCAAGTTAGCTACGTCAACGAGGACGATCTGTCCACAGAATACATGTGGCATTTATTGCCAATAAGACCATTGCCAATCACATGCTCACCAACTAGTTTGGCTGGTTTATCAGCTGCCTGGATGACTTGGTCTCTTTCCTGGATAAAATCAACCTGGCCTAAGTTACTCATGCCCTACTTATATCCTGCAAGTAAACTGCACTACCATAATACATTTATGTGGGTGTGTCTTTAAAGACAATTTGGAAACTGCAGTTGGTAGAAAAGGTGGGTGTCAGAATTAGGGTTGGAGTCTGATAATTGGAGCGCATCATACTAATGTTCTGTTATCCCTTACCCCAGTATTGTTTGTTTGCAGTGAGTCATTAGGTTTGAAGGCTGCATCCAGAAGTGGCTAACCCTCTTTTGGGCCATGTGACATCGCATGACTGAAACTTCAAGCTGCAGCTTGAAGCACTGAATTAAAGTTCAGCCTGCAAAGGAAGAATCTTATGACAACTGGTGAGTGACACCTGGACAGCTCTGTTTGCCAGAGTGAACCACAGATGGTTAGCTACTTTCCCACTCATGAAATGTTATATATGAAATATATAATGATAACACAACCTGTATTATCTAAAGTGGCACATTAGGCACCTGTCTGTGAGGTGTCAAATTCAATAAGTGCCAAATTTGAGCCACAGCTTCAAAGCAATTGCAGCTATGGGTTGAGTTCCTTTTTGAATTGTTCCAGCTTGAACTTTCCTGTGCCTGGAATTATATTGTTTCACAGAGCAGTGTGAGGTTCCAGGTCGTCACCCAGAGTTTGTGTTTCCTTTTTGAATGAGGCACAGAGTGGGGGTGGTGCTGTGGTCTAAACCACTGAGCCTAGGGCTTGCCGATCAGAAGGTCGGCGGTTCGAATCCCCGCAATGGGGTGAGCTCCCGTTGCTCAGTCCCAGCTCCTGCCAACCTAGCAGTTTGAAAGCACGCCAGTGCAAGTAGATAAATAGGTACCAGTCTGGCAGGAAGGTAAATGGCGTTTCCATGCGCTGCTCTGGTTTCACCAGAAGCGGCTTAGTCATGTTGGCCACATGACCCTGAAAAACTGTCTGCAGACAAACGCTGGCTCCCTCGGCCAGTAAAGCGAGATGAGTGCCACAACCCCAGAGTCGTTCGCAACTGCACTTAACTGTCAGGGGTCCTTTACCTTTACCTTTACAACCAGAGCCTACATCTCAAAAAGGTATTGCTTCTTCCATAGCCACAGCCTTGAATTCAAACAGACCACAAACATTGCTCTCAAGTGTTGCTCTGACTTTCCAGCTTGCTGCTGCTTCTGGCCCCGATCACTGCAACCTTCAACTATAAACTCAGGCTTTGCCCTTCTAACTATCTCACACACAGCCTACTCCTCTGCAAAAAAAACCCCTCATAACACTGTGATGTGAAGTGCAGAAAAGGTGGGTGTAGTTCAGCCAAAATGGACTGGGCTGGTGGGTCTAATTTGTCTTGTGGAGTGATGGGTTGCCCACCACTGATTTACAGAATTGCGTTCTGCTTTTACATGTATATTTTGGTACTGAAAAGCAGGATATAAATTAAATGAACCAAATAAAATGTGTTGCGTGTGTTTTGCCTTGTTTCATTGGCTAGCAAAATGAATAGAATATCCAGGGCAGGATTAAAGCATCAGCCTGAGAATGAAGTCGGCAGTAGCTGTGTAAGAAGGGCAGGATGGCAAATGAAGAGCTTTCCCAGAGTCTTGAAACTGGCCCAAAGCAATTCTAATTTTAGCTCGGCAAGAGGAAAGTTGTGCCTGTGATGATTTAGCAATATCCAAAAGCACCTAAGGAGGATCTACTTGTAGATCCTGGAGTGCTCTTGCTCTTCATTATGGTTTCTGTTCCCCTTCTCTTAGGACACTGAAGTATCTTTTTAACAAAACAGCATTATTGTAGAATGGTAGCAATGATGTTACAAACTGGACACCCATTTCTGTGTTGATTCCAATCTGGTGGCGCTTGAACTCCGCAAACTGAGTGATTCAATTTATTTTGTCACCCATGGTAAGAATCGCCTTCCAGTTAATGTGACCAAAGCACACCATAAAGTCTTTAAAAGCTTGGGGATACCTTGGTGTAGCGGCTTGCAAAGCTGAATTGTAAGAATCTCTAAAGAAGGAATGATATTAAAGATGCTTACCTTGTAAGTAGTGTTGGCATACACTATAGAAGAGCGGCGATAAGTTTGGCATTTCCCAACTACAACATTTTTCAGCCATATTTTATGTTTACTTAGAAGTAGTTCCTGTTTGTTGCAGATTATTATGGTTTAGATTGGTGGTTTAATGTGCAGTCAAATCCTGCAGTTCTCAAGGAACTTATTAAACCAACAACCACCAACAACACTAAACTCTATGGAACAGTTAAATAGAATATGGATTAAGACTCCATCCTTGTCTCATATTTGCACCATTGTATCTACCAGCATTTGGGTGGTGCCTTTGTGTAGTCAGCAATGAGAAGCTGAGGGCCTACTGAGTTTTAAGACTGGTCCATAAATGCAATTTTCTGATAAGGTCCATTTTCTGTTTGCAGCCTTCCAATTATTTACTTCATGAAAATGCTATGGAAAATATATTAAGAATGAAAATTGCTTAACATCGTTCAATTCTATTATTCTTTCCTAAGGCCAGAGAAGAGTGGGCTTTGAAAACATGGCCCAGTTCTTCCTTAATGCCTAGTCACACATGAAGTTCCCTTTACCACTGGCCCACATTCTTCTCATTCACACTGAGGCACACCCATGTTCATACATACATACATGGGGGTGGCATTGCTGTACTGCAGAAATGGAGGAGCCCCAGAGAATGTGGGACACCGGGAACCCATGGAGGTTGGGGGTCTGTCTCTTTGATGCATATATTGGATTTATATACTGTATTCCACCTGTATAGAATACAAGTCATTACTTATTTCTGTTATCCAATGGGCTAAAGCAGCTCCTACGAGATGCTATTTTCTTCCAAGTGAATGCAGATGCAAGTCGTCCGTGTTACTGACACCATCTGTAATGAGAGACACTGACCTTTCACCAAATGCCAAAGTTCTTTAGTCACTTGGAAGGACAGTAACCGGTGTGGTAAATGCTGCTCTAGGTGATCATTTGTTTTGAAATTTCCTTTGAGGATGAGTTTCTTATGCTTTCCTCTCTACAGAAAGCAAAGGAGAAACTAAAATGTGTGCTGATTTCTGTGTGGCTTGTAGAGATTAACATATTTCTCCATTTCTTCTATTGTTTTGTGGGCATCACTGCATATCTAGAGCTACCCGTCTTCTGGTTTAACTGATTAAGTATGTGTGTGAGTTTGAAGTAGCTTTCAGTTACCTGCACCTACGCACACTGATCAGATCACAGCACAAAAGAGGAATCTTGATGTGATCATGCAGTTGGAAGAAACTGTACAGACCAGTGGTCTGAACAAAGTCTAGAGATCAACAACGAATGCAATTCACCATTTAACACATTTATCTAACTCTCATGCTGTTGAGCCTTAAATTGTGAACTGCCACAACTGATGGAATGAAAACTACATTAGTTAACTTGTTTTATGATCATTTGTATGACTAGGGTTTTATTGTTTTCCATTGTGTTCTATATTCTGTTTATGGCCTTTGGCTAATATAGAAATGGAACTGAATTGTAGCTGTGGCTGACATATCCAATTAAACAGATGAATCAACTTTTTCATTTGGGATCTACCACTAAATTCCAACTATCGAACTAGGAGTAATATCGACCATAGATATTTCATGACACAGTATCCTCTGTCTTATTACCTCGCTTTGGCAATTGCTGCCCTAAATGAAGAACGTGTGTGCAGCCATGATCCTTCATCCAGGAACCCACATGGTCACACTAAGCCATGGTTTGGCTTTGTGTTAGGTGTAACCTGAACCAGTGTTTAGGGCAATTGAAATTATTGGTCGTACAGAATAGGGTAGCTCTATCCCAGTTGCCTAAGGGTGAGATATGACTTTAGCTGTAGCAGTATAATCCTGTGCTTGCTCCAAAGCTGGAGATGACCACTGTTAACTGTGCTGTATGTGAGCTGAAATAAAGAGAGGCCATAACAGTTTCCGCCCATGTTCTGGATTAACCCATCACTCACATCATAAACATTCTAGTTTTTTCAGACTACCCATGTATCCCTCTGATCTGCCCTGAAATTGCAAGCCTTCTACTATTTATGTGGATTGTGTAAGTTACAAATGAAATAGCTTTTTAGATTTGTTTTTAATGGCACAGCAAAACGCATTGAGTTTGCTTTTTATGCACAATGAAGTAATGGCTCTTTTGCATACTATAAATTTGCTTCAGTCCGTAGTTTTGCACAGTTATGGTCTTTGGTCCAGTTGAAAGGCATTCCAGTGGCAGATGCAGCCGCCCTCTCCTCATTTAGCTGAATGCTTCTTGACCATGGCTAGGTATTCCTGTACATCGTCTGGAGACCCCAAGACAATAGGCACACGCTGGTGAATGTTTTCAGGCACTATGTCCAAGACAGCCTCCTTGCCTGTTGTTGCAAGACCTCCAGCCTTCTCGATGATAAAAGCCATGGGGTTGCATTCATAGAGGAGCCTCAACTGGAATTACATATGTTAAAAATAACAGATCAAGCATCAGCACTGCACTTGAGCCAAATGCTATACTCACAAGAAGAGTGTGCTACAGTTGTATAGTGCTCTCTGCACAGGTTTTCTACATTGCAAATGTCCACATGATTACTCAGAAATAAGTTCCATTGTGTCTAAAGGGGATTGCTCCCCAACAAGCATGCTTCTATTGGCAGTATTGCTGCAGGTAGGAAAATGAGGTTTTCTTTCCATGTTTATGCTTAGATAGGCAGTGTGATATCATAGTTACATCCCCTCCAACATTTCTCCGATGAGTATAGGGACATCCTGTTCTACATCTGGAAGCTTCTCCCATGTTTGATTTCACCGCGCACACACAGACACATCAACATCAGTCACCTTAAGCCAATTGCAACCTCTCTGCCTCACCTGTCACAGGACTGGTGTAAAGAAAAAATGTAAGGGAAGGGATCATGTACAACACCTTCCACAGATAAAGGGAATGATACAAAATTTTAGCGATAAGCTGCCTTGAGTCCCTATCAAGGAAAAAGGTGGGATGATGATGATGATGATGATGATGATAATAAAAACTGTGAGAATGATTAGGAACATAAAGGTAAAGGGACCCCTGACCATTAGGTCCAGTCGTGACAGACTCTGGGGTTGCGGCGCTCATCTCGCTTTATTGGCCGAGGGAGCTGGCGTACAGTTTCCGGGTCATGTGGCCAGCAGGACTAAGCCGCTTCTGGCGAACCAGAGCAGGGCACGGAAACGCCGTTTACCTTCCCGCCGGAGCAGTACCTATTTATCTACTTGCACTTTGACGTGCTTTCGAACTGCTAGGTTGGCAGGAGCAGGGACCGAGCAACAGGAGCAAACCCAGTCGCAGGGATTCGAACCGCCGACCTTCTGATTGGCAAGACCTAGGCTCTGTGGTTTAACTCACAGCGCCACCCGCGTCCCTATGATTAGGAACATACAAGAGAGTAAATCCTATGGAACTCAGTGGGACTTAGTTCTGAGTCAAAATGCTTCAGATGGCCGTGTAAGGCTGCCCAGTCTTGACCCAGTTACCTGGGAGTAAGCTCCATTGAATACAGTGGGGCTTCCTTCTGAGTAGACAGTGTCAGACTCCATTTGCAATAAAGGACTCAACATTCCCCGTGTTTCCTAAGAAATGTCTGGCTGCAGAAGCATTGCGATGAAAGACTTTTAAAGTGGACTGGTGACCTTTTCCTTCGAAATTATAGGAAAGGCTTTGTATGCCAGTGTCACCATTTTCTTCATTTGGTGCAGGGATTTTATTTTCCGTTTCTGCACTTGCACTCACCACTTTTAATTGTCCCCTGAGACATGGAGGATAAGGGAAACACGGGACATTCTGGGATCAAGTCAGAAACCAGGACTGCTTTTGTAATATCGGGTCAGTTGGAAGGGCTGAAGTTACAGTAGGAATGGAGAAGCTGCAGCCAGTTCTTGTCGGACTTGTTGACGGCACAGCACGGCCAATGGTCAGGGATTATGGTAGATCTGGTCCAACAGCATCTGAAGGGCCATAACTTCCATATTTCTGAGTTAGTTGGTTGGATCAGAACTGCAGAGAGAGCCAGGTTAGAGTCCTCACTCAGCCATGAGGTTCACTGGATGATATTTATTTAGTCACTATCTCTCCGGCTAACTGAATTCACAGGGATATTATAAGGATAAAAATTGGGTTGGGAGAGTGGAGAGAAGGGTGGGAATGATGTATATCAGCGTGAGTTCTTGGGGGAAAGGTACACAGGTAAATGCACAGCTGGTCAACCAAACTATGCAAGAGGACAAAGCCTATTAACAGAAGTAGTACTGCTTTGCTCATAAGTAGAGGAAAAGGTCCTGTTTGTGACATTCTGTGTAAATGAGTAACTGCCTCTTATCTACAGGCTGGAGCAAGCATTGAAATGTAGTTCAGATTAGTTTTTGGCTGAATAAACACAGGTCCTTCCCTTGCCCAGTTAAGAGTTGGGATGGAGTTTGCCGTAGAAACCACTGCACTTTCTTCTCAATTGTTGGAAGTCTGAGATTAAACTTGAATGCCATGTTAGAAAAACCTGTGAAAACTGAATGCAACTCAGTGGTTGCTCTTTTGTGGAGCAGGATATTCTGCTCCTTATACAGTGGTACCTCGGGTTACAGACGCTTCAGGTTACAGACTCCGCTAACCCAGAAATATTATCTAGGGTTAAGAACTTTGCTTCAGGATGAGAACAGAAATCGTGCTCTGGCGGCGCAGCAGCAACAGGAGGCCCCATTAGCTAAAGTGGTGCTTCAGGTTAAGAACAGTTTCAGGTTAAGAACGGACCTCCGGAAGGAATTAAGTACTTAACCCGAGGTACCACTGTAATGATACTAGATATCAAAACTGGCAATTCAACAATTAAGCAATTTAGTCTTGCTGCGGTCTCATATGTCAGATACATAGTCTTTCCCAAATTTCCCAGTTTTAGTTTATCCAGAATGAAGTGGTACAATCCTGAGCGGTGGTGTGGACTGTACCACTTCAGGTTGCAGGCAGGGGGTGCCATTTTTTATTTATTCTCTCATGTACCAAGTTTCCTGCAAAACTAAAAGAACTAGCACATCAGGACAAAGATTCCAGTTCACTCCCTGCTGTGCTAGTTTACTGATTGCAGAGTATGTTTAACACCGGGGGGAGGGGCACTATAAGCACTTTAATTTTTAAATTTTGTGTTTTTTTTTAATTCCTGCAGGAAACTTGGTACATCCAAGGATCACAGGGTGGTTTACAATATAAAAAAACAAATATGTATATATCATACTAGCAAATGAAAACAAGAACTCTCCCCCAATAGGATACCCCTATTCATGTATCTAGTGTGTCATATCTAGTTTAGCCCCAGTTTCAAGTTGTAAGCTCATAAAATTTTAGCTTTTAAGTTCCCCGAACCCAGGGGACAGGGAAAGCTCTGTATGTCACAGGCGATTTGGGACAGGGTGTGTGAGAGAAATAAAGCCGAGCGCCTAAAGGAGTGGTGCCAAAAAGTATTGCAACCAGTATTAACCTAATTAGCAAGGGGAAAGGAATCCAGCTGGTGCTTATAGATAACAGCCTAGCCCAAGCGTATTTCATTCAGGAGCCTCTGATCCAGCACACAAAGGGGCAGAGATCTTTCCCAAGGATTGATGACATTTTACCTACCACTTATTTCAGTAAATCCTTGCCTGGAAAAGGGCAACATAATGATCCACCGAGCCCCATTTTGTGCCTTTTAGAATGGGTGTTCTACTTATGTGATGAGCCCCTTACTATTTACTTTATGTCCAGGTGCACTTTTAATTAATTAATTTATTTAATTTCTATACCTGCCTCTACCAGGAGGTCTCAGAGCAGTTCACTTCTCCAGAACTCCCTGTGCTTTTGGTTGGGAGCATCACCCAGTTCCTTGGATGTTACACCATCACAGCGCTGCTCAATTGTGTCCTACCTTGCATAGCAGAGAAGCCAGATGCGTACCGGGGGAAACCAAATGACGATGGATAGTCCTACCGCTCAACTTACAAAGGGAAAGCATGAGTTCTCCCTGCCTTGTTAAATATAACAGTGCCTTTCTATGACCTTGAGCAGAGTGCCCAGACTTTGATAACTAAACATGTAGTTTAGAAGGACATTCAGTTGTAAAACATGAAGACAATAGAAGCATCACATGATGAATTCTTGTAAAAAATTAAGCATGTGCTAGCTATGTTACCTTTCCCTTGGGGCTCTTTGAATTGGCTGGATATAGGAAGATTCCTCCATACACCAGGGTACGGTGCACATCAGCAACCATGGAACCTATGTATCTGCTGCCATAGGGAGCGCTACCATCCTAGAAGAGAAGATTGGTGAAATATTGTATAAGTGTTCTGAAGTTCTACATTCCCCAGACTGATGCGAAATGGATAGCAGCTGCCTCTGTCCCTGGCTGGGTCCAGATGGCAGCTTCCTGGTTGGGTGCTGTAGCATCCAATGGGAAGGACAGGAGGTGTTCCCAATAAATGGAAGAAGCCCTTTTGCCCAGGCCATCACTAGGCTCACTTTAGGAAAGCCAGCCATGCAAATGTCAGTCATGCCTCTAAGTCACACAAGAAGACAAGGAATCAGTAAATGCTGAAGCACACCATCTGTGCAGACTGCAACAAATTACAACGTTCCTAAGCTGTAGGAAAAGCAAGCCAGTCAGTCTGTGTAATGATCACTCATGTGCCTATGGTATTGTGTTTACTACTGCCCATCAGAAATTCCCAGACAGTACAGTGGTAACTTGGTTGTCAAACTTAATCCATTCTGGGAGTCTGTTCGACTCCTGGAACCGTTCAAAAAACAAGGTGCGGCTTCCGATTGGCTGCAGGAGCTACCTGCGCTCAATCGGAAGCCGCAGAAGTCGGACATTTGGCTTCCGAAAAATGTTCGCAAACGGGAACACTTACTTCCAGGTTTGCAGCGTTCGGGAGCCGATTTGTTTGAGAGCCAAGCTGTTCAACAACCAAAGTACCACTGTACTTATAAACGGTGTGAAGCTGAGTACTGTGTGCAGGTAACAATTCACACACCTTCCCATCCATTTCCCTAAGAAGAGTTTTCACACCAGGAAACTTCTAATGTTTGAACCAAGTCTTAGGGTTCTCTGGACATGACACAATGGCTACATCCATGGGTTCACTTTGCACCCACAAAATTGTTTCTAAGCTTTGTACAAAAAAGCTTGGGTTGGATCCAGAGGAGCCTGTTTTGTTGGAGAAAGGTGCTTTTGACCCAACGCACAAGTGAGGGTCCCACTCACTGTGAAGTTATATAAAGCAAATATATATGGACTAAAAGAAATGTTGTCTTCTGGAATATCTGGACAGCAAATTTCTTTGCAGGATGTGAAAGCTTACCTGTGGAAATTTCTTATTCTTGAGATATTCTGTGACAGCAGGGTCAAAGTATGCAGCATATCCCTCGTTGAGGCTGAAGATATTTCCCTTTTTCTTTATTTTTACATCCCTGTTGACCAAAATGAATTCCCCAATGGCCTAGCATAAGAAAAAAAGCAAGCCTTATCATTTGTACAGCATACACTTTATTCCTGAGTAAATTGCATTCGTCATTTACAAGGCAAAACAAAAAATACCGCCATGTGAATCAGTGTCGGACAAGTTAACACAGGCAAATTAGTGCATGTCTACAAATGAGGACCAGCCAGAGCATATTTACCAAGTGCATCCAGTTCACTGCAATTCCCTTGTGAAGGTATTAACGAGAGCCCTATGTGAAGGAGCGTGAGGTTTTAACTGGGTTTGGTGGAGTCACAGATTAAATTTGCTTTTTGTCTCTTAGCGTGTTAGGCTGCCAGGGTTGTAGAATGGACTGTTGGGATCTGTAATTGTTGAGCGCGAGAGGTGTGTGTGTTGCAAGGTTGGTGAATATGCACAGGTTGACTTGAACTACAGGTTAGTTAGCGAATGTGGAATTTGTGTGCGTAGAGCGGAAACTGGTTTTATGGATTTTGATGTTTTATCCATTTTGTATGCTATATTGTTTAATTTTGTTTTCTCTTGTAAACTGCCTTGTGTTCCTTTCTGATAAAAGCAGTATATAAATTTTGGGGTGGGAAACATCAGGCACTTAGGAATACCTTTTCCAAAATCCTGTTAACTAGGACAAGGCCTCAAAAGAGTTTGCAGCAGCCTTTATCAATCTTGCCCTGTTGAAACTAGAATGCTCATGAAACCATTTGTAGGCAATGACCACACTGTCATTTCTTCACAGTTGTTTGAAGAAAAAATGCTACTACATACATAGAACTTAACAGTCTAGCTGCTAAAAAAGAATCAAAAATAAAGCAAAGGACATGCAACTACTTGAGATATACATATTGGAGAATGCCGGGCTCTAACAATAGAAAATAAACTCATTTTAAACTGAACAAACATAGAAAAACCCAAGCAAGGCTATGCAACCTTGCTTCATCTAGAAAGCAATTTTAATTGAAGCTGCATGGCATCAGCTATGTTGAAACATGCTTTCTATCGTAGAAGCACAAAGATGAAAAGATTCTAGGGTGTTTAAGGTGCCTCTCTTTCTGACACACACACACACACACACACACACACACACGTAAACACCCCACTTACTCTTTAAGACATCAGATGCAATCTGAAAGTGTACAAGAACATCTGTTAACATGGTTTTGTTGAGATGTAGATGAACAGAAGATAGTAGCCATTTCAAAACAAGGCTGAGGGCAACATGCTGCCTTAAATTCCAAGCTCCTTAAATGTGTGGTTAGCCAGTGGCTCTCCAGAGGTTGTTGGGTTCCATCTCACATCTGCCCAATCTCACATGGCCAATTAGCAGGAATGATGGGAGGCGAGTCCAGCAACATCTGGAGCATCATGATTAGCCATCCTACACACTAGTGCTAAAACGAAAGGCAGCCTTCATGTACCAAAAGGGTTTAAATTTCCTGGAAGTCTTAATTCGAATATGATGCATAATCACTTTTCAGAATCGCTTGCATTCTGTGGGGATAATGACCTCTGTTTTCTATGCTGCTGTGTCTTATTAAACAACCTGCAGGACATGCAAAGCTTATATTGGATAATTGGGGGTAGGGAATTAGTCAACTCTTTCCCCCTTCTTTTTGTCCTTATGAGAGCAGTTCAAGTTTGGGATATTTTAAGGAACCAAGACAGTGCAAGCACCAGCTCTTTAATGAAGCTGCACACAAAGTGTACACTGGGTTTGCACTCAGTAGGCCACTATGATGGAATCCAGGGCCCCCTACTGGCACCTGCAAGTAACAGGCTGGCTGGCACCTTGTTCTTCCTATCTGCTCTTCAGAGCTTTAAAATAATAATTGTACCCCACCCATCTGACTGGGTTGCCCCAGCCACTCTGGGTGGCTTCCAGCATATATAAAAACATAACAAAACATTAAACATTAAAAAGCTTCCCTATACAGGGCGAGGGACACGGGTGGCGCTGTGGGTTAAACCACATAACCTAGGACTTGCTGATCAGAATCCCCTGTGACGGGGTGAGCTCCCATTGCTCGGTCCCTGCTCCTGCCAACCTAGCAGTTCGAAAGCACGTCAAAGTGCAAGTAGATAAATAGGTACTGCTCCAGCGGGAAGGTAAACGGCATTTCCGTGCACTGCTCTGGTTCACCAGAAGTGGCTTAGTCATGCTGGCCACATGACCCAGAAGCTGTACACCGGCTCCCTCGGCCAATAAAGCGAGATGAGCGTCGCAACCCCAGAGTCGGTCACGACTGGACATAATGGTCAGCGGTCCCTTTACCTTTACCTATACAGGGCTGCCTTCTAAAGGTTATATAGTTACTCATCTCTGTGACATGCTCCACAGAGTGGGTGCCACTACCAAGAAGGCCCCCTGCCTGGTTCCCTGTAGCTTCACTTCTCGCACCAGAAGGCCCTCGGTGCTGGATCTCAGTGTCCAGGCTGAATGATATAACATCTGAATATGGAATGTCTAGCTATCCTGGTTGACAGCTATCCATGGATAGTGCTGAAGTAGAAGAGACTGAAGGAGCTCTGCATGAATAGAGATGAGCAATGGTGGGAGTGACTTGGCAGGGCGAAGAGGATATGTAGCACCCCTGTATTGGGAAGTTTTTAATGTTTGACGTTTTATTATATTTTGCTGGAAGCTGCCCAGAGTGGCTGGGGAAACCCAATCAGATGGGCAGGGTATAAATAATAAAATTGTTGTTGTTGTTGTTGTTGTTCTTTTCTAGAGGAGAGTTGGGTAATCTTTGGTCCTCCAGATGTTGTTGGCCTATGACTTCCATCATCTCTGACCACTTGCTATGGTGGCTGTGACTGATGGGAGTTTGAATCCTACATCTGGAGGACCACTGGTTAGCAACTTGTGTTTTAGAGACACCAACTGCTTCCAATTATTATGTTGAAAATTCTGTACAATTTTTATCTTGTTTGTCCTACAACAACCCTGTATTTTTTAATTTTCATTTTACTTAAAAGAAAATAGGGATTGAAAGATTCCAAGTATTTGCAACCCCTCTGTTTGTTTGATGCACAGATGCATATTTTGGTCCTTAAAAAGTATTACTTCACTTGACATTTTTACGGTGGAATAAGCTCTATTAATTTCCCTTAGAATAAACTCATTTGTGTAAAATGATAAAAATATTTGAAAATTCCCATTTGTATAAAATGATAAAAATGTTTTTTTAAAAAAAGCATGACAACAAACAATAATATTTTCATAGGCCATAACAGCACTCCTTACCGGATCAAGCATGAAACAGTTGACACCACATTCGAGAGCTAGAACAAGCATGGTGGCACTGCCATAGAGGGCATAACCAGACGCCACAAGGTTGCGCCCAGGCTGCAGAGCATCTTTCTCAGACGGTGCACCAGGAGAAGCCTTGAATAAGAGAAGAACACAGGAAGCTGCTTCATGCAGAGAAAGGCCATTGGTCCATTGAGCTTTGGCAGGGGCTTCCCAGTGTTTCAGACAGCCGTTATTCCCAGCTCTGTGTGGAGATTCTGGGGACCGAACCTGGGATCTGCATGCAGAGAAACTGCTCTACCACTTGAGCTATGACCCTTTCCCCGAGAACCTTAAAATCTGGACATTAAAAGCTTTTAACTTTAAGCTGTTGTTCTCTTCCCATGAAGCATCAAATATGGAGATGGTTAAAGAAAGAGGAAGAATCAATGTCAGGAGCTAAAACAGAATTCTATGAGGCTGGCACAAGTTTAACGGCTCCATTTAGTGCTGGAGAGGAGTAAGGGCTCTGTGGGACACTTGCCTTTCCTCATCACTGTAAGGTAAAGGGACCCCTGACCATTAGGTCCAGTCGTGGCCGACTCTGGGGTTGCGGCGCTCATCTCGCTTTATTGGCCGAGGGAGCTGGCATACAGCTTCCAGGTCATGTGGCCAGCATGACTAAGCCGCTTCTGGCAAACCAGAGCAGTGCACGGAAACGCTGTTTACCTTCCCGCCAGAGCGGTACCTATTTATCTACTTGCACTTTGACGTGCTTTCAAACTGCTAGGTTGGCAGGAGCAGGGACTGAGCAACGGGAGCTCACCCCATCGCGGGATTCGGACAGCCGACCTTCTGATCGGCAAGTCCTAGGCTCTGTGGTTAGCCCACAGCGCCACCCACGTCCCTTTCCTCATCACTGTAGCAAACTATTAATCTGAAGTATCTCATTAAGACTTCTGCTTGGCTAGCAAACAACTTCATTATTGGTTTGTGTGACTGTTTTATCTTTTCAAATTAGGTTGAGTAAGGAGTCACGTGACTGTCAGCCTCACGTATGGCCCTGCTTGGGGGTTTAAAAGTCATGCTGCTTGCAGTTGCCATGTCCACAAGCATTCTGTCTCAGAATCTCTGGAGGTGGGCACTGGATTCAGGGAACATGTGGCACAAAGCCCGATTCCCTCCCCTTTCCCTTTTAGAGTTCTGGAGCTTGGAGTGGTATGTTGTACAGTGGTACCTTGGGATGCGAATGGGATCCGTCTGTGTGTGCGCGGGTCGGCGCTTCTGCGCATGTGTGTGACGTCATTTTGACCATCTGCGCATGTGCGCGCTGCGAAATCCAGAAGTAACGTGCTCCGTTACTTCTGGATTGCCGCAGAGCGCAACCCAAAAATACTTAACTTGAAGCACATTTATCCCGAGGTAAGACTGTACTCACAACTGTTTTTTACAAGAGTAAGGGGTCCCCAACAAACGGTAGAGACTCCTGCCCACATTATCCACCTTCCAATTTAGGCTCCAAGGGCATCCCTGATTGGCATACTCAGAAAATGGAAAAGTTACATGAATTATTAAGCCAATTGTATACATGCCAAAGTTGCAATGGAGGGATATTTGAGAGTCAAGAATGACAGCACTGAGCTGGATAGGCCACTGGAAGCTCCTTTTGACCCTTATATAGTAAATGAGCATAAAATAGATAAGACCTGGCTGTCAATGCACTATCTTATTTTGCTGTTTGGCTGAGGTTAGGTTTTAAGTTCCAGAGTATATGATTCAAAGACATCTTATTCTAGAAGCTAAACAATTAAAACGGGGTGTGTGCCTTAAACACAATCAGCTTGCTTATTTAACAACATGTTAGTCCAGAACTTCAGGTCTCTTTAAACAGTTTAACTGCCTGTCAAAATAAGGCGCAAGTAATATCCTCTCTGGAGTTAACAGAACTCTTACAAACACAAGTGCTTTGAGGATTACATAGCAAGTTTGCAGGTTATGCTGCAAGATCATTTCCCTGTGTGAAAAGTCAGTTTACACCGCTAAAACCCATGGAACAGATTCCATTAAACCAGCTAACCCCAATCCACTTCAGCAAAAGAAAATCTGATATAATTTTATTTTTGTTTCACACATAACATTCACTCTGTTCAGTTAACCCTTGTCCCTACTGACTAACCTTGGGAACATAAAATGTTCAATATTAACATAAGCAGAAACCCAGTCCTCAAAGCAGTGTATTTTCTTCATTACTCCTATTACCTCACTATTCCGTAAGCAACCATTAAATATATCCTACCTTTCTGTAGATAGCAAAAATGGTCCCGATAGACACAAGGCAGTCAATGTTAGATGAGCCATCAAGTGGATCCATGCAGACTATGTATTTGCCCTAGAAGATAGAAACATTCAAATATTCTTAAAATAAACTAGATGTGTATAGTGCTTGTTTCACTGCTAAAATACTCCAACTGAATAATGCTTGTGAGGGTGATTTCAGGCAACTTTCACACTAATGATGGCTCAATTGCCAATGGCTCTTATGTAGATGAGGATTAAGTGAGAAAGGAGAATCGTGTTAAATATGTGTTAGGTACCCACAGCCTTTTTTTTTTAAACGTATTTTTAATTAAAAGTTTCTTGGTTTACAAAAGTATGTGCATTGTCTCTTTTTTCAAGTTACATTTTCTACAGATCAGTTTAATTTGCTGAGACATTGGTGTTACATTAGGAAGAAAAGGGGGAAAGAGGTGGAAAAGGGTGAGTGGGGGTGGAGTCAGGTGGCATGTTTCTATTTTACTCAATGTATGTGTGGGGTTTTGTGTCAGCGTCGCTTGTGCAGGTTCTCTTGGAAGAAGATGCCTTCACCCCGGTATGGCTCCCCTTTATCACATACACAGCCCAACAAGACAACGACAAGATTGACAGCATACAAATCAATATGGCTAACCTGATTCAAAAACACCCACCCACCCCACTCACACATGAAAACAAAGTTCACCATAGCCAATCACAAATGAACAACCACACCCTAGGCCAACAGGGAAGGGCTGTTGTACAAAACTGATTACTTAAACTTTTGTTAATCTGATGAAAACTGTTGATGGCAGGGATAGCCAAAGTGGTGCCACCAATATGTTGCTCAGTTCCAAATCCCATCAGCCCCAGCCGTTGTGGCTTCGCTGGGGCAGAGATTCTCTCCTTGTTCCTTCTCTCATTACTGTGCACTTACCAACATCTCATGCTCCTTGTCTTCCTCCCTCTGCTTTTTTCTGCTACCATCACACTCTCCCAAATCTACCCACCATCTTATCAGGCATGCAAGGGCACTGCCCATGCCAGCTTCACAGTGCTGCACTCCCAGTCCCTTACACACATTAGTAACACACGCACAGCTTTATTGTAGTCCATAGACCCAAAATACACAGTGCAACAACAGCATATATCAACACTTATAAAGGTGTAGGATCGGCCTTGCTAGCCAACAGAGGAGCTTTAGCCTGTACGTACTGATTTCTGCTGGACTCCAACTCCCAACAGCCCCAGGCATGCATGGTCACTGGTCAGGGCCGATGGGAGTTGTAGTCCAGTAACATGGGGAGGACCTCAGGCCCTGCTGTGCAGCAGTTGTGGGGTGTGGCCCTGCCACTTCTATCCTCCCAGGAAATGTGTGCCTCCTGCATCAGTAACAAGATACTTTTTGACTATCTCAAGCAACTAGTGATTTTACATATAGTGTTATGTGTTTGTTGAAGAGTCCATGCTGGCATATAGAAGACGGCAAGGAAAACCAGTCCTGTATTTGGTCCCATCAAAGGAAGTTGAAGTCAGGTCCATCCCGGTGGGGCTGGGTGCTGATAAGCAGACTTGCTTCAACATACCTTCTTCAAAACTTCCTCATATAATGCAAATTAATGAATTTGCTGTAGCTCAGGCAACAGGGAGTAAGAGTTTAGAGTGGACATCATCTAGTTTAGCCCTGACAGGAGTTATCAGGAAACATGGAATACCAATCCTACATTTGACAAGATAATGGGAATCAGAGACTGGATTAGCATGGAGAAACAGGTGGATGGAAAGGGTATTTACTCTCTCCGCTCATCAATTATCTTCTGCAAAATGCCTTTTCCTGGCTGTTTTTCCTGCAGTTGGGCTCACTTCCAGCTTTGAAAAACTTGGGAGAATCAACAGGCACTGAAAGGCTTATACGCACCCCTTTTGCCTACCAATTCTCCCCACCAATGCCCTCCCTACCATTTATCAACACAAGAAGGGAGCGTTTTCCCTCATAATGTCTAGCGCCACAGGCAACAGAGCAGAGCCTGCTTACGTTTTTCTGACCTCAGAAGGGCACTGCTCTTTGTCCTGTTTCTGTATCTTAGGTTAATTTTTACATGTTTGAAGAGACAGCTGTTGCTCAATGCCAGCGGGAAAGCAAGCATCAGGATAGTTTTGAGAGGTACTGACTTGTTTATCTTCTTCCACTATAAGGGCATCTTTGTTTTCTTCAGAGACAATCACACAAGTTGTGAAAGATGACTTCAGCATGTTGATCACCATGTCATTGGAAAGGACATCCAGTTTCTTGACTTGGTCTCCTGTGACATTGGTAGAACCAGCAATTCCATATCTGAACAGGGAAGAATAGATGACCAGTAAAAGATTTGTGTGTGTGTGCGTGTTTAAATAAGTAGGGCACATGTCCCAGCCACTCTTGTATCAAATATGATTTAGATATCTCACACAGATCCCCAAATAATTTGGTACCACCAGGTCTTGTTATCCTCAGTGAGGGTTGCACCCTTTCTTTCAATAATTAGTTAAGAGTTCTGTATTGAGACAGGTAGGCAAGAAACACATAGACAAGTATCTTGACTTATTCATATATATATTTCCAAACTGACGTTTCTTTTGTAACTCTCAAAAGAGATCACACCACCCTTCTTAATTTTCATTTTAATTCTTAAAATCTTAATACACTAGTAAGTTCTCTTACATTTCTTCAGAAAATGCTGACAACTGCATTTTAATTTAACAAATTAAAAAATAGCTGCAAAAGATGCCAATAGTGTTATTTCCACTCCCTGAAAGAGAATTGCCTGAAGAGAGTCAACACCTAGCAGTCTCCACCCAATGCGATCCAACCCGTTAAGCACTTTTAAATCTCACTGATTTGAACCAACAAGACTTTAATTCATGGTTAACTTCCATCTGAAATAAATGGGACTTAAAATGGCTTATTTTTAAACTGCCAAATATATACATATTTTTTTCAAACAGGAGACAAACTAATTATTTGATCTTTGTTGTCCTTTAAAGCCATTTCAAGGCTGAATTGAGCAAGGGAACTCATGTGTGATTGAAGCAAGCACTCAGATATGAAAAAAAGCGTACCTTGAACTGTAAATATTACCTTGCTCCAATGCAACAAAGCTGTCCAGATTATAATCAAATGGGGCAAAGGCTAAAGCTTGCTTCTGTATTTCCCTGAAATTCTTTTAATGCTACCGTTTTGCTTATGTAACCTTGTATTTTAAATGTTTAATATCATATAATTGCAATGAATTCAAGCCATAATAAAATCATATAGATAAAATGTGAATACTACCCAGGACCACGTAGTAAGAAATACCACTGAAATGTTGTCTGAGTAACACATTAACAATAATGCAGATAAGAGAGTCAGTGTATCAATAGCACCATAAACAGCTACTGTTCAACTTTGCTTTAAATTAGCTATATATTGCAATTGAGGAAAGACCAACATAACCGCCTGATAAAGAGTTTTAACGAAATATGTGCAAACAGATGTACACATGGAGAGTGACAACATCAGTGTCTCTGTGCTTCCTCTTTCCATGAAGATGGAATTACAAAAGGTTGCACTTTCATCATGACTTGCTCATTAAAGAGTAAACATAGTAAAATGGCAGTCGCGCTCAGGTTTCATTGTGAGATCTGTACTTCGAGGCTTTCTTCGGTTTTAGGAAGGGAGGGAAAAAATGCATTTATATTGTGTTCCAAAAGACGGAGATATATGGGACTAAACCAAACCTTCCTAAGCAAGGGTGCTTTTCCTCTTTCCTGTAGTGCTCCGAAATACTGTCAACTAACTTTTATATCCAGTTTAATTTATGTTCAGTTCATTAATTTATGTTTCCATGGAGAGGGAAAAACTAAACAGGAGTAAGCCACCAACGCCAACAGCTTTAAAATGAGATTAAAAAATCATAGACTGTTGGTGACTTCTGGTCATTATGACTGTATGCCTCTCAATACTAGCTGGCTGGGGAACAGAAGGGGAGAGCCTAGATGTCAACTTTGCGGGTTTCCCATAGACATTTGGTTGACCACTTTGAAAACAGGATACTGGACTAGGCAGACCTGTGATCTGATCCAGCAGAGCTGCTCTTACGTTATGTTGTGCATACAGGTTATGAAGAAATAGTGCATCATGTGAAGTAACCTTCATGCTGGCATACACCACCAGATTAAAATGCAGCCCCAAGATTTCCATTAGACAGGATGTGAAATATCCTAGTGCATGTCGTAAATAGGGATATGGTATTAGATAGTTAGCAAATGAAACTTCATTGCCAAGATGAAGTATGTGATAGAAAGAAAGGAACCCAGGACGGTAGAAAATTAGGGCTTGGGAGTTGATAGATGCTAATTTAAGGAGATTTTGAAGGCAAATGGCATCATAAACACTGGACTGGGCCCTAGAGAGACCCAGATAAAGATAAGAGTGGGTATTCAACTTAAGTTTTACTCAGGAGTAGACCTATTAAAGAGTGACGCGGGTGGCGCTGTGGGTTAAACCACAGAGCCTAGGACTTGCCGATCAGAAGGTCGCGGTTCGAATCCCCACGACGGGGTGAGCTCCCATTGCTCAGTCCCTGCTCCTGCCAACCTAGCAGTTCGAAAGCACGTCAAAGTGCAAGTAGATAAATAGGTACCGCTCTGGCAGGAAGGTAAACGGCGTTTCCGTGCGCTGCTCTGGCTCGCCAGAAGCGACTTAATCATGACCCAGAAGCTCCCTTGGCCAATAAAGCGAGATGAGCGCCGCAACCCCAGAGTCGTCCGTGACTGGACCTAATGGCCCTTGACCTTTTAGACCTATTAAAATTAATGAACACGACTAAGCAAGCTCATTAATGTCAACAGGTCTACTCTACGAAAACCCTAGTTGAATACCACCCAGGGAGTATACAGAGAGCACCCGGCCCACACAGATATTTAGGCCCTGGACTCAAGGCTGATCTCTTTCTCAAGCAAAGACAACATTTGCTGGCATCTTGGTGGATCACGGACTGCTTCAGAGTCCCAAGCAGAAACCTCAGGAAAGAGGTGATGTCAAGAAAATATAATATAGGGAAAGACCACTTCCAGGTTATTGGGGGGGGGGGAAGGATTTGCCACTAGACTCCGGGAAGGGGTTTCCTGCGGTTTTGTGGCCCTCCAGACTTTCCTGGACTACAGCTCTCATCATTTTTACTTATTCATCATGCTGGTCAGGTTTATGGGCTTTGGAGTACAACACCCAAGGGAACCACGCCTTCCCCTGCGCTAGGGCCCTGGGCTGCTGACCCGGGACACTTGGCGGAAGATCTGGGGTGGGGGGGCTGAGAAAGGCAAACCAAAGCGCCTCTCTCCGCTTAGGGAGGAGCAGCGACGGGCGAATTCAAGGCGAAGGATGCTTCTCCTTGCGGAGAATGGTACTCGGCAGACTCACAGGTTAGCGATGCCCGCCTTTCGCACGGCGGTGGAGATGGCCTTGACAGCCGTGCACAGCGAGTTCAGGAGCTGCGTGAGCTCCCCGGTGCCCCGGGCTTTCCTGCCTTCCTCCATCACGAACCGAGTCAGGGTGGTCACGTTCGTGTCGAAGGTGGATCGGTCCGTCATGGTGACTGACACTGAAAACAGCGGCGGCGAGAGAGTTGCTGTAGCTGCGCTCTGGAGACGACAGCTTTCTCTGGAGCCCGGAACTATCTACCACTTCGGGGCGGGAAAAGTGGGTGGAAGGAAAGAGGCGTCGACCTTCCCTCGCTCAACGGACCAATCCTGCCAGGGGGCGGGGTGGGGGCGGTGCAGGGGCGGGGGAAGGAACTTAGGCACCTCCTTGTGTATCCAGGTGTTGCAACGTTCCATCGCTGGACCACTCCGACGCTGTTGGAGATGCTGGAACGGGGGGATGCCGCAGCCGCGCTCGCGTGGAAGGGAGAGGCGGAGGAGGGGGAAAGGAGAAGCGGGAACCAGAGAAGAAGAAGGCGGGCCGGGGAAGTGGCCGACGAGGCGGTGGGGAGGGAGAGCCGGAGGTTGGCTCTCTGCTGCGGCGCTGGGCGTCTTTTTTGCCGCCTTCTGTTTGCTTAGCGCTGGGCGGGGAACTTCCTTGTCCTCGTGATAATAAGTGGCAGTTTAGGCGGAACTTGGCATAGGGATCCTCTTGGGGACTTCGTTCAAGCCCTTCAAAGGCGAAAATAGAAATAAAAAGAGTGGTAAGAAAATAAATAGGATTCGTGGGGGCTTCAGAATGTTACAGCCACTGGAGCGTCATGTATTCCTGCCTTATTCTTCAGGTGCAACAACGTTTGAGTCGGCTGGTAGCTTCTGCATCCTAGTAGACTCAGCTACCTTTTCACAATATTCTAATTTTCTGAGATTGTTAATTTGGGGTTTTCATTAGCTGTACCCCGTAATCATCACAATTATAACAAATAAAGGCTTGACATATCTCGCTTTGCATGTCGTGAGTCTATCTCATATATTAGTTTCACCTTTTAAGTTGAATTACTGAAATAAATGAACTTTTCCATGATATTCTAATTTTTCGAGTTTCACCTGTAGATCGGTAAAGAAAAAGCGTTTTGTATGCGATATAACACTGTGACGCCAGATGGCGCTGTGGAATTCCGTTTTTGCCAACAGCGATTTCTCATTATAAAGGATGCAACGCATTTTTCTGAAAGTCTCTTTGGATGTGTCTAGAACCAGCCTGTGACAGTTACTATTACTACTAATGACTACTAGGAATACCTTCCAAAGGAAGAAGCCTTTTTACTTTCAAAGTAGGTGCCTTCCTCTGTCGAAGATGCATGGTGTTGGAAGGGCCATAGGAGATCCGATGCAGGATGCAACTCTCTAAGACAGGGGTCAGCAAACCTTTTCAGCAGGGGGCCGGTCCACTGTCCCTCAGACTATATTTTGAAGAAGAAAAATGAATGAATTCCTATGTCCCACAAATAACCCAGTGTTGCATTTTAAATAAAAGCACACATTCTACTCATGTAAAAACACACTGATTCCCAGACCATCCATGGGCTGGATTTAGAAGGCGATGGGGCAGGATCCGGCCCCCAGGCCTTAGTTTGCCTACCCATGCTCTAAGATGTGGCTGTAAAGCGAAGGAGAGCCCCCCATGGTCCCCCAGGGCAACTGTTCTGCTTTCCCTTAAATACCCCCACATCCTCCCAAAGGCTATTTCTCACTTTCATACAGCTTTTATCATTAGGACGTTTGTCCTGATGTTTAGCTGAAATCAACTTGCTTGTCATTTTCATCAGAGAACATAGGAGCCAACTCCTAGGGGCCGAGGTCCCTTTGTGAGCCCCCCCCTTAAAAATTTGAACGGGTCAGGGCCCCCCCAACAGTTCTTGGGCATTGTCATTCAAATGGTTTGTGTACACAATGACTTGTGATTGATTATTCAGGGCAGAGCTTTTGTGGGCCTCCCCAATATTTTATTCAAGTTGGCCAGAGAACCATCCGGTCTTCATGCTCTTCATGATGACAGCCCTTCAGATCGATGAAGTCTACTGTCATCATGTTTCCCCTTAATCATCTCTTCTTGAGGCTAAGCATATGGGCCTGCGGGATCAGGTCAATGGGTGTATCCAGTCCTGCATCCTCTTCTCCCAGTGCCAACCTGCAGGAAACCCACAGGTGGGACATGAGCACAGGAAGAGAAGAAGAAGAAGAAGAAGAGTTTGGATTTTATATCCTGCTTTATAACTACCCTAAGGAGTCTCAAAGTGCCTAACATTCTCCTTTCCCTTCCTCCCCCACAACAAACACTCTGTGAGGTGAGTGGGGCTGAGTGTAACTAGCCCAAGGTCACCCAGCAGCTGCATGTGGAGGAGCAGGGAATCGAACCTGGTTCACCAGATTACGAGTCCACCGCTCTGAACCACTACACAACACTGGCTCCCTACCCCAGTTTCCAGCAGCTGCTGTTCAGAAACATTTCTGCCTCCAGCTGTGGAGGCAGAGCACAGCCAACGTAACATAGCCCTCTCCTCCATGAATCGAACCTCTTTTAAGGCCATCTCAGTTGGTGGCCATCACCAGGGCCATCTTAAGTATATCCAGTGCCGTGGTGCAAAGATCCCTCCGGCGCCCCCCGTTTTCCAAAGTTGCCGACCGTTTTACAGCGCTGCCGGCAGCTTTGTGGGGCTAGAGGAGGCGGGCAGTGGCTGGAGGGCGGCTCCTCTGGTGGGGAAGAGGCAGAGGCTCCAGGCGTGGCACTGCTTCAGTGAGGCGGGCAAGGGTGGTGAGCTGATGCTGGGAGACACTGCGTCCAGCCTCCGCCTCTTCCCTGGCACCCTCCAAAACCTGGCGCCCTGGCGCCCCACGCCACTGGCCTCTATGGGCAAGATGTCCCTGGCCATCACTGCCTCCTGTAGGAGAGTCCCATAGTTCCACTATGTGCTGGGTGAAGAAGAACTTTCTTTTACCTTTCCTGAATCTCCCAACGTTCAGTTTCGCTGGATGTCCATGAGTTCTAGTCTTCTCTCTTTGCATCCAATAGTACATGTCACTTTATTCTGAATATTGTATTTCTTCTTTAACTGGAAATTCATTTTCTCTCTTTCCCCCTTATCCTACATATTTATATTTAATGTAAAAGAAGCTCATCGCTGTCATGCAACTCCATATGTTGGACATGCGCAACCTCAAATCCTATAGAAACGTTTTGAAATGGAATTCCTATTAAGTTGTTTAACACATAACAAAATATGTTCATATATATATATATATATATATATATACACATGACCAAAAGGGCTATTTAACAAAAAATATTCCAGATAAATGCACATGCCCAATCCATTTATTTTTAAAGCAAAAAAATCAGGATTTAAGCTTCATACACAATATCAGCTCATGAGTTAAACCATAAATGATTTATTTCAAATACAGTACATAGCAATATTGTGCTTAATTGTTTTATTCCTAGTTGTTCCTGCTAAACACAGGAAGGGAGCATCATGAATCAGATTTTCAAATTAGCTCAACTTCTATTTTCATGGAGAAATGAACTTTGTGTCAAAACTGTAATACTTTTCCTCATTGAATGTAAGTAATGAAACCATCCTGAGATTTTTAGATGCTTTCAACAAAATCAGAGTATTTTTCAAAGCACGTAACTCCCCGCAACTCAGCTCCAGCCTCAATCTTTTTGCAATGCAATAGCTCATTATAGGCTCTTTCTACATTTGGAAGGACTTTCTGGTTCATCTGACAAAACTTCCAGTGCACTAAGAAGCCATGCATGAAAATATGGCTTTTGAAATGTCTAGGCACACAGAAAATACTTTTTTATGTACAGAACAACTGCTGGCCCAGAGATGGAAAGAAGACAAGGTCCCTACCAGAGAGGAATGGCAAATTCGAGTTGATGGACTATTCCAAAATGGCAAAGCTGACTAGAAAACTCAGAAACAAAGAGGACAAAAACTTTACAAAAGAATGGGAAATTTTTTGTAAGTTATCTAAGAGACCACCGTAAGCAGATGGAAACATTGGCAGGATTTTGATTTCACTTGTAGTGTAACAATTATCATGGACAATATGGATTGATATAAAAGTTAGAGGTCGGAAAAAGACGCAGTTTTAAATATTTAAAATGGGACTCCATGGAAGGGGTGGACGGAAGTCCTGAGATTCTGGGGAAATCTCTGTATATCGATATAAATTTGGTTTTTTATAACTTTGTATTGGTAAAATCAAATAAAAATGGTTTTTTTATAAAAAAATGAAATGTCTAGGTGCAAAGTATAGGTTCAACTGTTATTTACTGCATGTAAAAGAAAGAGGAAGGAAGAATAAAAAGGCAGAACATTTCAGAAGAAAGAAAAGCACACAGCAGCAGCTTATTTCAGTTCTTAGCTGCCATGGGTGTAGCCAAGGGGGCAGCAGGGAGCGGCAGCTGCCCACCCAAATAAATGAAAATCAATAAAACTACATAGCAAACTGCAGTTCTGCCCCTCCTAACAAAAATCCTCGCTATGCCCATGCTAGCTGCAAGCTCTTTTCTATTTATACAGCGTAAAAAAAAAAAGTTTTACAACTAGAAACTCCAGTAAACTCCCGGCACCGTAGCTGCACAGTCTTGCCCCATTTACTAAGCTTAGCATAAGACAACAGCAGTGCCAGCCCAAGCCACTGAGTGCCGTTTGTTAATTTAAACATAGGGCTGGAGTGTAAAACTATCGGTCAGAGGCTTGAACAGCAGCATAACTTGCCCAAACCGCTTTTTAGCTTCATATACAGCTAATTAAGGTGGTGTGGTTGTTTGCAGTCTGCATTTTAATGTATTGCAAATGCTGTCGAAATTAAATGAAGAAAAAAATTAATTGCACACCCCCACACACTCCTTGTTTGTTCAATACTAGCTTTCATCAGTGCTGTTTTTCCAGGAAAAAGAGGTGTCGGAACTCACCAAGAACGCCTCTCCTTTGTTCTCTTAGAATGGCAATTTCACCCACCTGAGAAGTGCCAGAACTGAGCTCCCACTGAAAATAAGGCCTGGCTTTCATTTCATTATTTTCCCATTTGCAATCTTATATAGTTAATAAAGTTAAATTTAGTAATCTCTCTCACATACATGGTTTTGTCAATTATGTCATGTATATACTACTGCCAAGATCACTATACCTTAACAAAAAGTTGGATGAAACTTCACAAAGTTTAACAGCTTTCTAGTAATAGACTACATCAGTTAAACCTGATCCCATATAATACCACGGGTAGGCAAACTAAGGCCCAGGGCCAGATCCAGCCCAATTGCCTTCTGAATCCAGCCTGCGGACGGTCTGGGAATCAGTGTGTTTTTACATGAGTAGAATGTGTCCTTTTATTTAAAAATGCATCTCTGGGTTATTTGTGGGGCCTGCCTGGTGTTTTTACATGAGTAGAATGTGTGCTTTTATTTAAAATGCATCTCTGGGTTATTTGTGGGGCATAGGAATTCGTTCATTATTATTATTTTTCAAAATATAGTCCGGCCCCCCACAAGGTCTGGGGGACAGTGGACCGGCCCCCTGCTGAATAAGTTTGCTGACCCCTGTAATAACACAATAAGGATAAGCATTCGTTTGCCTTTACGGTCTTCCATTTGGAAAGGTGGCATTGCCTGTATTACACAAGATTGGCAGCAGGAGGCATTGCTTTTTCATTCTATGAATCTCAAAACCTCACACCCACAGTCCTTTTCCTGACATGCCAGATACTGCTCTCAGCAGCCAACTTGTCAGAAGAGTTATTAAACCCAGTATGCTGCAGGCCCTGGATGCGAGATGGGCCAAGCAGAGGGAACACTCCATGCACATTCTTTTAAAAGGTTAGGTCCTCTGTGTGTATTTCATTACAGTAAGAGACCGCAGCAGCTTGCCATGTGGATGAGAGACACCAAGTGATACGCAGCAGATTTGCAGCCGCCTTGCTAATCTGAAAGTGTTTCATCCTGTTTGCTAGAGTGACTGAGAACTGCTAGCAGAAGGACAGGAAGATGAAGCTAAACAGGCAAATAGACAAGCAGAACAGAACATATTTCTGCATTCATCTATTTACAGCGGTACCTCGGGTTACAGATGCTTCAGGTTACAGACGCTTCAGGCTACAGACTCCGCTAACCCAGAAATAGTACCTTGGGTTAAGAACTTTGCTTCAGGATGAGAACAGAAATCGTGCTCTGGCGGCACGGTGGCAGCGGGAGGCCTCATTAGCTAAAGTGGTACCTCAGGTTAAGAACAGTTTCAGGTTAAGAACGGACCTCCGGAACGAATTAAGTTCTTAACCCGAGGTACCACTGTATTTTAGATTCAGGTGGGTACCCATGTTGGTTTGTCATAGTCATAATAAATAACAAGATGAAATATTTTTAAAAAATAATTTATTTAAAGATGATCCAAAAAGAACTCCCTTAAGAGAATCAAGTCTTTTTGTCTTAAGAGAGTCTTGAAAAGAATCTTCCTAAAATAAATAAATAAATAAATAAATAACCTATTTGTTTTAGGTTAGACATCAGTATGTAAAACCAAGGCAAGTTTCATCACAGAAGGATATTGAGAAATCCTATCTGCCTTTGGTTACACTAGGCATAACAACTGACAGCTTCCCCAGCTGCTGTTCCAGTGCAGCAAGTCTTAGGAAAAAGGGAGACGAATAACATTAAGAAATGAGGATATTGCAGGGTTAGAAAATCCATAACCGAGGCTATTTATTGTGCAGCCCTCTCCAAGTCTACTCAGAAGAAAGCCCCGTTGGCTTCAGTGGGGCTTAGTTGCAGGTAAGTGCCTATATAGGATGGGTAGCCTTATGCTGTGCTGGGCTGACAGGAGTAGAAAATGTCAGGCAGGAAACAACAGGACCGTCCCATCAAAATAAAAAGTTGTGGGTGAGCCAGTGCCACATTCAGAGTCCCGCCAGCTTGCTCTGGTGAGGGCAGAGTTCTCTGTGTGTCACTTTCTTTTAAAGAAAAAATAACCAGCAGTCCCTATTTTTACTATTTCCCCTCCCAATGGAGCTCCAGACTGGCATAGATGGGAGACCTGAACTGGGTGGCAGTTGGGATATGAGGTAATCCAGTGGATCCAAGGCTTCAGGGTCTGCCACCTGCAGGAACTCCACCTGCAGAGCTCCAGGGGTTTCCCGGCCAGATCAGCCTGAAAGGCACTTTCTCACTATCTTATTTCTCTGAGCTTCCCTTCAGTTGGGGTTGGAATTTATCTGAAGGAGAGAGAGCGAAAACATAATAATAAAAAGCAGTGCTTTTTTTCTAAAAAAAAAAATGTTTAGGGGTACTCTCATTTTGACTCAAGAAAACCACCATTTTATAGTTCAAACTGGGAAAAATAAATACAGTGGTACCTCGGGTTAAGAACTTAATTTGTTCTGGAGGTCTGTTCTTAACCTGAAACTGTTCTTAACCTGAAGCACCACTTTAGCTAATGGGGCCTCCCGCTGCCACCGCGCCACCGGAGCACAATTTCTGTTCTCACCCTGAAGCAAAGTTCTTAACCCGAGGAACTATTTCTGGGTTAGCGGAGTCTGTTACCTGAAGCGTCTGTAACCTGAAGTGTATGTAACCCAAGGTACCACTGTACAGTAAATGGACAAAAGTACAAAGATACACAAAATGTTTAGGGCAGGCATAGGCAAACTTGGCCCTCCAGATGTTTTGGGACTACAACTCCCATCATCCCTGACCACTGGTCCTGTTAGCTAGGGATGATGGGAGTTGTAGTCCCAAAACATCTGGAGGGCCGAGTTTGCCTTTGCCTGGTGGTATGTGTACCCCTACGTACCCACAGAAAAAAGCACTGATAAAAAGAATCCCACTACAACTGCCACATCATACCTGTTCCACATTTGTAAGAACTCAGTTTAGTGTGGCAGCCCCTACACTTTGGAACTCCCTGCCTATGAAGATCAAGCCTTCATTGTACTATTTGGCGCCTGTTAAAAACATTCCTGTTTAGACAAGCCTACCCAGATGCTTATAGAATTGTAGAGTTGCAGGACTTTTTTGCCCAGTGGGACTCAAACACATGATCTTGAGATTACGAGTCTCATGCTCTACTGACTGAGCTAAAGAAAGTTTGAAAGTTGAGGTACCTTTAATCTGCTTTACTATTTGAACTTACGTATGTTTTAAAGTAGGGTTGTATTTTATTTTTTTGCTTTTTTTGTAAACTGCTTTGAGGTGTTTAACAACCATATGGTGTATAACTTTTATGAAATAAATAAAGTAATAATTTTTAATTTGATCTCAGCCTCAGCTTGCAGCTGATGAATGATAATATTGGCCCACCTTACAGGGGGGTTGTAAAAATGGCAAGATAACATATGTACGATGTTTCAAACATTTGAAAGCACTATATAAAAATGGTCAGCCTTATTGTTACGTGCCCAGATTCAGCTTTGTTGCTGGAATCACTCTTGGTCTATGATTCAGAACTCGCGGGTTCATCAGGTGCAAATATAGTTGCTTTAGTACATTTGTAATGGCTGAGAATGGGTGATTTTAAAACTGAATCTTCAGAATAAATCTAGTTAAACTACCAGCTTAATACAAGCATGATTTGAAAACTGAGAGCAGAGGCAGGGAAATAAATAGTACAAATGGTTGATAAAGCAGTCCGGCCTCCTAGTACTCCCCCTAAGGACTATAACTGCAAACGTACACACACACACACACACACACACACACGGGGAACAGAGGGGATGAAAAGCTCCACTGAGTGCTTTTTTGGCCACCTGCCATTCCCAGAATGCCTAATAATATTCTTAAAACAAAATAGAGCAAAATACAATTCTCACACTGAGCTGTATCTTTTGTTTCTTTTAAAAACTGATCTGGTCTTGTTGTTTCCAAATGCTTGTTTTGGAAACTAGAAAGATCCCCTCCCGGATTTTTATTTCACCAAATGCCTCTTTATCTATAACTCAGCAAGCAAGAAAATCTCTTTTAACTCTTAACAGCAGTCTCTTCAAATGAAACTTCAGCACGAAAGCCAGAATGAATTAGTACAAAATTCTTGCATAGGTGTGGTCTGTGGTTTTCGCTGTGGTACATCCCAGTTCTATGGATTAGAGGCACTACCGGGAAATTAGTCTACTTGTCAGCAAATTTGGGTGACCTAGCATTCCATACATTACCCAAATACTTAGCATGTGTTTTCTTGATCTTCACTGTATCACTTTTGTTGGATGGTTTCTGTTTACTCTGGGGAAGAACCAGTAATGGAATTTTATGAGTGAAAGGGGAAAGGTTATGTGTGTGTGTGTGTGTGTGTGTGTGTGTGTGTGTGAAAGCGAGAGAGAGATGCAGACAGAAGAGGAAGGGAGGAGAGCATATAGCGGTGTAGCCTTCCTGAACTGGAAGATTTTCAGAGACACCAATTCCCCCTTTGCTTTATCATAAAAATCTCACAGCAAAGTGCCCATCATTACAACTGGCAGTGCACATACATGTATGGAAGAAGGATTTCTGCATATTGCAGCAAAAGCAGCCAAGAGACTTGGGGCATTTTAAAGACTAACATTTTTACTGTGGCATATTGTTTGGGTGCGTATCAGGGGCAGGCCAGCAATAACTCACAAGGCGCAACTCAGGCCTAGTAACACAGCAACTCTTCCCAGTAGGTCTTGCCCCAGTGAGGCAGTTGTGAGTTCCCGACAGCTCTCTTAAGTCAGGGGTGCCATCTACGGGGGGCTGGGGGGGGTCAGGGGCTGCCTCCCAAATCCAATTTAATCCTTAAAAGGACGCACCAGGACGAATATGCTTTGCCTTGCTGCCTCCTTTTGAGGATCACCAGGGATGTACAGGGTGAAGCGTGCTCACACCACGTATCTCTTTCAAAAAGGTAAGGCATTTGGCAGTGGGAGAGTGGGAGATGACAGGCCAAGTTGGTCTGGCCAGATCGGGGAGTGGGTATCGTGCATGTGATGTCATGCATGTGCGACAGCCCCCCCCCCCAATGTTGGGCGCAACTCGATGACACTGCTCTTAAGTCTCCTCCTCCCCTGGTTCCTTCCCAAGCAATCTAAGACTCCTTCATCTTGCCTGTCTTTGCTCTGCCCTCTTCATACCTCTGTGGGTTCTGCGAGAAAAGTGGAGGGGCAGGGGAGCTGGTCACAGCAGGAGGGGGAGACTCCCTAGCTTCCTCAGCAGCCTGTCTCATCTCTGTCTCTTGGCCCCACTCCTCTCCAGCCTCAGTTTCTGCCTCTGATTCCAGATTGCTCTCTTCCACAGCCTCTTCCTGCTCACTAAACCCTCTTGCCTCTTCAGTTTCCAACACCCCCTCCTCCCTCTTCTCTGCTCCCTCTGACCACTCATCACTGTCCCACCACCAATCCATGGACTCTGAGTATTTTTTCCTTGGGGGTTCCCCAGCTGGTGCCTCCCACGACTTCTCTGCTTCCAGCCAGTCCATGACACATACGCTTTCATGGACTACAGTCCACCTCAATACACACACACAGTGTGCATGTGTGTGCGTGTCTCTCTGTGTGTGGACAGGTTAGAGAGAAGTTAATTACAGAAAACAACAGTTACCAACAGTGGCCATTTAGAAACTACTACTGGAGATAATTGGCGAGCGAATCAACACATGTAGTGTGATAATAAACAGTTATTCCAATTCCTGCCACAGGCAGTAAACTAAACCTTTTGATAAACTATAATTCAGCTTTTGAAGTTCCTTTGTTTTGAGAAGACCTATCTTGAAGTCTGTGCAGAGGTGCTGTTGGGGTCCCTGTGTGAGGGGGCCCATCTGTGATGCCTGTGTTCAGCTTCAGTAGCATTGCATATGTTGGGGCAGTATTGCCCTTCTGACACTGGCATTGCCATTGCTTACCTAGACAGGGCTGGGGCAGGTCAGCAGCATGGCTAGGCCTCACGCATGCACTGCTGTAATTAATCTGATCCTGCCAGTGAATCCACATGACCCCAGTCTTGCCACTGCTGTTACGTTGTGGGTGAACATATCAGATGACACAGCGATTCTTCAAACAGCTCTTGTTTATTCACAGGCCAGGACAGAACTGAACTGAAGGGTTCAGTCAGCCTGCTTATATAGAGCTCCAGTACAACGTAACTGTAACAATTTTCTAAAACTATCCAATCACTGAACGTCACTTTCGATCCCTTATTTGCATAACTATCTACAGTATCCTCCTGCTGGCCCAGGGTGAGAACTTCAGTACATAACAACTGCCCTGCCCCAGCAGCAGTGATGACACTGTCAGGAGGGTGGCTCTGTGATTCCACACCACCACACACGTGTGACTATTCCGCTTGCCGTACTTCTCATAACTCTGGGGAAATGCTTTCAATTTGAATGGCGGCACAACACTTCACTTCCTACTGCTTCACAATCTGCCACTGTTGCCACCTCATTTGGGGGCCCTGACTGCATGGGTCTTGGACATAGTCCCCACAATCTGGCCCTCACACTGGTCCAGTGACAGAGTATGCTGGGAGACTGAAATGTTCCCTGTTTTTTATTTTATTTTAATGAATATATTGCCAGTTCTGATGTCAGATTTACAGCTATTTATTATCTGGCGTAGACTGGCTTCTTTCTCCCGTGTAGAATGTAGAAGGAAATCACTGGCAGAACAAATTTCCGGATGTCTGTGTGCTCACAAATGCCATTTTGGGAATGTTCACTGTTAATAATGGAAGAGCTCTGCCCACACAAATCCCTTCACATACATCAGTGGAGCACCCCAACGCTGGTGGGCAGAACTAGACTTTGTGGCCCCAGAGATTCGTCCACATGTTATTTCAACCTGTGGAGGGGTTTGTGTGTAGGCCCCTCCAGTGTAGATATATATAAATTAGTTGGCAGAGTTGTGCCCAAGATAAACTGATTTCAAAAAGCATTACTGATAGGTTTTCAGCCACTGCTAGTCTTGTGCTTTGCATTAACAGGCAGTAAGTTTGGGGGGGGGGGGAGAGACACAAGAAGCAAAGTTGGGAAGTTTGTGGGGAGGGGGAATAGCAGCTTGATGTCATTGGTGATTTCCCTCTCCTCCATGTGATTTGGCCGGTCTCCAGTTCTGTCCCACAAGAGTCCATTAGGAAAAAGCTCACTTGATTAATTTCACCCCTGCTATTAACATGCCATGAACGTGTCTGGTGATTAAAGAGCTGTGTGGCTAAATCTACCAGGTGAATTTGAAGTGGTTTATAATTGAATCGTGGCTGTTTGATTTTGTCATTTGTCCCTGTCAAAAGTGTGCTATGAAAATGATGACAGCTCAAGCTTAGTTTGGTATAGGAAGGTCAGGACCACGCTGCCAGGATCAGAGGCCCCGTGCCTTTGACTACCAGTAAGTGGGGAACAGCAGTGGGTGCAAGCTATTGCACACATGCTCTGCTGGTGAGCTTCCCATAGATTCACTACTGTGGGAAACAGTATGCTGAATTAGATATGCCTTTGGTCTGATGCAGGGGGGCCTTATGCTCATAGAGTAGTAGCTCTTATGGCCTATGCTTGAAGCAACAACAACATTAATAAAGAAGGTTGAAATTGAGACTTGGTCTTAATATGAGGTGATAGCATGTGCCACTTTATTCTGCAGCAAGGGTAATCACATTGTTAATCAATAAATCTCCTTTATTGGCACAGAAAAAGTGCATTGTGTACATGGATCAGAATCACATTGTTAATCCTCCCTTATGTAAAAACCTCCTTTGTAAGCAAGGAGAGGGCTGGACTAACACTTTTGCTCTGAGATGCCTGTTGTTTTATTTGTACAACCGTTGGTTTTGATTTGTTTAAATATAGGGAAGTAGTAAAGTCCATTCTACCACCTCGGGTTTCAGTATGCTAATTTGGCTGCTTATTTAACCCAGGCGATCATCCGCCATCCCGATTCTGTGCAAATTATCTGTCGCCAACAGTTGTGTGAACTTTCAAATGGTATCTTTGCCCAAGTTTTGTGAATTGCAAACTCTAAGTGGTTTACTCAGAGGCATGCCTAGGGGTTGGCGGAAACAAGCCCCTGCTTGGGAGTGCAGGTCCACCCCACCCCAAATCACTTAGCAGACTATGGAGTGCATGAGGCATATGTGTGTAGCATCACAACGCTGCTACTGTGGTGAGATCAAATGCAGGAGAAGCTTCCCATCCTTCTTACACCACAACACAAAGCTGCATGAATTTCTTTTGCTCTTCCTCAATGTTATGTACTGAGTTGAATAAGATCCAAAAGGCAGCAGTCTGATTGGTCCTAGAACAATAGGATTCAGAATGCAGCAGTCTGATTGGTCCTAGAACAAGAGGGTCCAGAATGCAGCAGTCTGATTGGTCCACAGGAGCCACCCAATCCAGCTCCAGGTGGAAGTGAATCGGCAACCTGATTGGCCTACAGGTGAATCCTGGAATTAGCCAATCACGTGGGGCCCATTGTGTAAATAATGTATATAAAGCAGACATTCTGGGGGAACTTCCATTCCTCCTCACCACTATGAGCTGAATAAAGAGCATGAAATCCACTCTTGACTCCGAGTATATTTCACTCAACTTGCTTTCACTCCAGATGCTTTGAGTACCTTTCTAATGTGGCTATTGCAGAAAATTGATTTCATCCCTTTTGGAGGGGTGCTGATACAGCTTTTTGCCAAAGGTGCAAGGGACCCTAGGCACACCTCTGGGTTTGCTTTCTGGTGCTGGAAAATTTACAAATAGTAAACAAAACATACTTTGTGAAAGAAGTGGTTGAAGGTTACTGTTTGTTCTAAGTACAAGCACTAAGCATTTTAAGATGTTCATATTGTGGCCTTTCAAAATGGTACTTTAATCTTCCATTGATTGGAAAAGACTGGGAGTAAAAGATAAAAGAAGCATATGGAAAATGGCAGAGAACATTCTCTGCCTGTCATGAGCATGAAATTTACACGTCCCAAACATCAATATCCCAGTCAACAGTTATTATGCTATATTTAGATTTTTAGCCCTTTCTCCATCTCTCAGAGCGTATCCTTAAAACATACAAAAGATAACATTTCATCCTAATCTTTTCCCCTTCTTCACTAGTTTAGCCCTTCTTGCTTGCGTCTCTAGAAACTATTTGGAATGAAAAGAGTTTACAATGGTTCTGGAAAAAATATGCAGGATCGAGCATCTGCCCATGGTGAAATACATTTTTTTTCCCAGATGAAAGGACACACAGGATGAATCCTACCAACTCCAGTTAAATTTTTTAAAAAAAAATAATTTAGAAATATTTCTGTAGAAGAAGAGAAGAAGAGTTTGGATTTGATATCCTGCTTTATCACTACCCGAAAGAGTCTCAAAGCGGCTAACAATCTCCTTTCCCTTCCTCCCCCACAACAAACACTCTGTGAGGTGAGTGGGGCCGAGAGACTTCAGAGAAGTGTGACTGGCCCAAGGTCACCCAGCAGCTGCATGTGGAGGAGCGGGGAAGTGAACCCGGTTCCCCAGATTATGAGACTACCGCTCTTAACCACTACACCACACTGGCTCTCAGAAGGTAGCAAGTGAGACCAGCTGTAGTTGGGGCTAGAGCCAATGACAGGTATGTGGGAATGTTAATGATAGTTAGAAAGGATATATTGAATGTGGAGGAGCGGGGAAGCGAACCTGGTTCACCAGATTACGAATCTACTGCTCTTAACCACTACACCACACTGATTACTTAAACACAAAACTCTCTTAAGAGGTATAAAAATGCACTGTGAACACCAGTGTTCCATCTACAGAAATCGACCAGGCCCGCAGTTACATACTGTTGAGTACTGGATAACAGGATAGTGTCCTCTTTTACGCCTGATGGCAGCAGATGAATTATGTTGAGAGCAGGACAGGCTGTGTGGCACACACAGCTCTGCCCTTCAACAGAAAAGTGCAGCCAGGGTGTCAGGATATATATCCAGTCAGTGAACATTTGCCGACTGAGGCAGTTGCTTCATTCTGCCTAATGATGGGACTGATCCTGGAAGCACAGCTAGAGATGTCTCTATCCCAGACCTTGGAGAGCCACAGCCAGGCTGTACAATAGCACAGGGCAGAAAGATGAAAAATACTGGCTGCTCAGTGATGCAAGTATGTTTTGGGAAGCTTTTAATGTTTGATGTATTACAGTATTTTAATATTTTTTTGGAAGCCACCCAGAGTGGCTGGGGAAGCCCAGCCAGATGGGCGGGGTATAAACAATAAATTATTATTAATTATTATTATTATTATTATTATTATTATTATTATTATTATTAGAATCTGACTACAGGTAGGTAGCCGTGTTGGTCTGCCGTAGTCGAAACAAAATAAAAAAAAATTCTTCCAGTTTGTTATAGGTATGAGCTTTTGTGTGCATGCACACTTATTCAGATACAAACGAAGTTTCTGAAGAAGTGTGCATGCACACGAAAGCTCATACCAGTAACAAACTTACTTGGTCTCTAAGGTGCTACTGGAAGGAATTTTTTTAGGACTCTGACTGTTACGGTAACATAATAGTCAATATAGCTTATGCCCCTTTTTCTGGAGTTCTGTCTATAATGGTAGCCATTAACAAATGGCAGCATTTCAGGTTTATTAAACGGAGGCCTGAATGTCTTTTTTCCAAGCTGCCTAGAATGTAGCTGGAAGCTGTATGTACCTCGAGGGATGAGAATTATAAACATTTCCATCTCTCATTAAGGGTCCATTGTCCATTGCTCACTGCTTGTGGTGGCTGCAAAAAGCCCTTTCATCCATCTAAATGCACGCAGCATGCTCCAGCCTAGATGCATGTAATGTTAACATGGCCAGGGCCAGTGTTTCTCATGACTATTTATTTATTTATTAGAAACATTTTCAAACTGTCATTCATCCTTATTGATCATTCCCAGGGCAATTTACAAAGGGCATGACTCGCTTACTCATACACTCTTTGGCAGTGGTCTACAAAAGCTTCAGTTTTGACTAACACTTGCAGCAATGGCATTTAGATATTACTTTCTCGTTGTGTGGATTATGGACACAGAGATTTACCACCACCAAAACCCTGGAGGTGAGAGATCAGACTTCAAGAGTTGGTTCTCCCCATCCTGTGGTGATTGGGATCAGGCCAGGGGTTATCTATCTATCTATCTATCTATCTATCTATCTATCTATCTATCTATCCATCCATCCATCTATCTATCATCTATATCATCTATCTATCTATCTATCATCTATCTATCTATCTATCTATCTATCTATCTATCTATCTATCTATCTATATCTATCCATCCATCCATCTATCTATCATCTATCTATATCTATCTATCTATCATCTATCTATATATATCTATCTATCATCTATATCTAATATTACACTGTTGGCATCCATCTGTTTTGAGAGACAATGAAGTGCACCTCTGGGAATGAAGTCAAATGGCTGCGTTAGCTGCACTGAAGTCACCTCTCCAGGTCGCAAAACTGGGTAGTGTGTATGTTGGTCCTGGCTGCCTAGATGGCAAGACCCTCCTCTCGGCCTCACTGATGTGGTCCAAAGGAAAGCAGAGCAATATGTTTGGTGCCAGCTTGGCTTAGGAGTTGTCAGAAGGAGGTGTGTGAGGTGCCATCCAACCATCTTAGGGACTCCACTCTGGATTTGTGTAGGGTTTGTGTAGCCTTTTCTTCTCTTGAAGATATCCCACAAGGCAGTGGAGGTTTAGGGTTTGAGGTTTTCCTTCTCCTAGATGGGCTAGCTTCCCAGGTTGCTCTTTTTGAAAAGGCTGAGAGCAAAGTGCCTTTTCGAGGTTGGAACTGACCTTTTTGGTTGAGCATTTACTTGCCATCCCATAGTTCCTTTTTGGACCAACCAGAAGAAGAGTCACGAATCAGAGATTGAAATCCGGTTATCTCGTTGTTGGAGTTCCATCAGAATTGCACCAGCAACAAGTACACAAATAGAGAGTTATTCTCTTGGACTTATTGCAGGAATATTTGGACTGTTTGGCTTTCAGATATTGAGTTGTGTATGTCATTCTTATTTTGGCACTGTACATATCATTTAAAACTAAGTATTAGAAGGTGTTGTACATTACTGTCAATGGATTTTTGTAAATCACATAGAGTTATTTAGTTTGCTCAAGGGAAAAGGCTCCAAGTCTTACTGGGTCCCAAGCCTTTGGAAGCATCAAAAGTAGCTCTTATGATCTGGCCTATTTAAGTCCCCAGTGGTCGGTTTTCCAAGGGGAACTAAATGCCTGCCTTGAGCACTCTACCAGCTAAGGAATGGAAGACACCAAAAGCCTAACAGAAAGGCATAAGAGGCAGGGGCGTAGGAAGGGGGGTGCGCCCCACCCGGAGTGTCATCCCTGAGGGGGTGACAAAATGGCACACTGCGGAGGGCAGCGCTTACTGTGGGTCATGGCCTGTGGGTCATGGCCTGAGCCACGCGTCTCTCCTGGGAGTGACGTGGTGGCTCAGAACCCTACACTGCCCAAAACAGCAGCGTGGGGCTTGCGTCCGCCAGGCAGACTCCGTGGGCAGCTCATCGCAGCAACCCTCTGGGCAGATCACCCCGCCCCCTGCCACTCTGGGTGCCAGAGCAGCTAGCTACACCCCAGTAAGAAGGCTCCTTTGGGATAGGGCGGGGTACAAATTTAATAGAGAAAGAAATCTTAAAGATTTCCAGAGTCTGTTAAAGAGGGTTAGACATTTGTTTGTGTTGCTGTTTTGCTTTCCTTAATGACAGCCAACCCTTAATGTCAGCCAGTGAAATTAATTGGTGGTGAAAAGCTCTGTCAGTGGCTGGAGAACAAAATGGGGGGGGTGTTGTCTTTAGATTGCAGCATGATTGCAGCCTGGGGTATTTCTGAGTGGCTGGTTTCACATTTAACCTTGGGGTGGGGGTGAGAGGAAAGAGAGTGTGTGTGAAGAATAAGTGAGAAAACAATTAGGTAAAACCTGCCAGTCTGTGATGCTGGTACAGTTTTTCTTTCATCTTGTACCATTATGATAGCTAAAGGTCAGGATATTAAATGCCAAGAACAGCCCCCTACCTAGCTGATCTGTGTTCATCCTGGGATTGCATCTTCGAGACTGCATTGGCAATCATAAAATTTTAAAGAGCTACGGTAAATCTCTTTGCAAATATTGCCTTTGTTTTTACAGTAAAGCAGCAGATGAAACGCAGGAGGCTTGTGTATTGTTTGGAGCCTGTTAACCCTTAACAGAGAATCATGATTTATCCTCCAGTGCTTGGTGCCTTCGTGCCTTTATAATAGCCTTTATAACAAGAGGAAGCAGTGCTGGAAGGGTTAAAATCAGATCACAAGCCATTAGCCAAATTTAGTTCCCATCACCACCGGATGAGTAATTGAATTGTTCTCGAGTCAAAACATTTATCTGAAGCCCTCTGGTTGCAGCTGTCTAACATGCCAGTTTGACATTGTTCAGAGTCGTCTTTCCAAGGCTCAATTCCATTCATGCGGCAGTTGATCAGAAATTATAATCATATGGCAAACAGGAAGTGTAGCTTCTCTAAGCAATGAAACCAAATAAATGGAAAATTAGAGATATCAATTCATCATTACTGTGTCTCTGTCTGGACTATAACTGGCAGCCAGGGAGCCCTTGTTTAAGCTATGCCTGATGCTTCCGTCTACAGAAGGCATGAGGAATCTGTGGCCCAACAAATAGTGCTAGGCTCCCCTTTGTTAGCCCCAGCCAACATGGTCAATGGTCAGGGATGCAGCATATGTGACTCTTACCATTGTACATCAGGCTGCATTCCATCTGCACAGAAGTCAGAGCTTTGTACAACTATACACTCAAACATACCCATTTCTCCACCCTGGCTAATAAGAGGTATCATCACAATTCAGGACACTCCAGCCAGACAAAGAACACTCAAGGAAGCTTAGTGAGGGGTGGCCTAGTGAGAGTTCTGTGTACTAGAGAGAGAGGCCTTGAGGTGTTGGTCCTTGGGTCTCCTGCATTAGATGGAAGAGGCAAGAGACTATGGAACTCCCAAGATGTAAAATGTGTGTGTTGGACCCACTACCCTCCAAATGTTGCTGAACTACAACTCCCATTGGCACCAGCAAGCATGACCAATGGTCAGGGATGATGGGAGTCATAGCAATTTCCCAGCCCCAAGCTCTAGTGGTATGGCAAAATTTGATTTAGATTTCTTAGGATCTACTACTACCATGTTGAAGGTTGTTTCATTTTCTGCTTGAGGGATAACAAACCATAGAAGGTGCACTTATAACCTGTCTCACTGGTAACCAAAAATCCAGACTGGGAAAACTCCCTAAAACTAAAGAAGCATGTGGCCTCTCATTCAAACATGCCTCAAAGCTCCAGGCACCAAAAGAACAAGTTCCTTAAGCAATGGCCTTAGTAGCTACACAAAGCCAGGTTCCCTTGCACGAAATCTAGACTTACACAATCAGAAGCAACTCCTTTTATTAGCCAGTAGTGTTTTTTAAATGGAACTTTTTGTTTAGAGAGATGAGAGGGAAACACATCTTTGTGAGGTGGGACTTAGAAAATAATAACCTACTTTTGTATTGGGATGTTTTCTTCCCATATTCCATGGTAGGGCACCTCAGTCATCAATATAATTGTAAGAAGCTTTTGTGCACTTTTTATCCCAGTACTATGAGCTTTTCCCTCACACTACTGTACCTATTCATTCACTCATGCATTCAAATAGTTTTTGTTGGATTTTCAATTGCAAGTATAAGTCTTACAAAGACAGATGTTATGGAAATAAAAACAATGTAAAAATACCGTACACATCAGACTAGAACAATAATGCATGCAACCACAAAACCGGAGTAGAATACCTCAAAGCTTGAAACAAAGTAAGAAGAAAAAGTGTTGTCCCATTCAAGAAAGATTACAACACATTATTCTGTGTGGTGTTATTTCTTGGAAGAATCAGAGCTCTTGAAAGTGAAAACTGAGTGACCAGAGGATTTAGTTATGCCTGTCATCTCATATAACTTATGAAAGGGAACCCAACCACTTCAAAAATTATCCCTTTTTGAGGTGCCACAGATAACTCTAGCATGATAGCTAAGATGCTCAGAATGCACAATTGATCAGATCCTGTCATAATTGAAAAGCCTGCCCTAGTCTTTCAGCATAATCTCAGAGCATACTGTTGCAAGAAGCAAAGCTACTAGTTATTTAAGGATTTAGATCACCTCCAAGCGATAGTAGAGCAAGGTCTGGATCTGGGTGGAGAGGCTGGCCACTGATGTCAGATAGTGTGGCAAATGCCAGGAGTTTTCCATGTTTGTGACTCCACCACATATGAAAGAGAGATTACCATTCTCCACATCCCTCCCAGCCTAATGAAGATATCAAGGGGTTAATCTGGTGCTTGTACCTATGTATTGTGTCAAGTATTGAAGGGAACACATCACAAACAAAAATAATGTTGACTCCTTAAAAATCAACACTCAGGG